CTAAGAAAACAGGAAGGGGATCTCCACATCAATTCACTGCAACTGGGGCTATACTCATGGCTGGGGTCACTGGATCTGATCCAGGTTTATAAAGGTGAAAACAGAAGCAAAACTTCAACAAATCTCTAAAAAGACTGAACAATTTCTCAACTTACAATAAAATTAGAATAATCAGGAGAGTCCCCTATCTTTTCCCAGGTAAGTGACTTACATTAAATAATTCTTTGACTTTCTCTCTTTCACTCTAGACATTTTCCTTGGGAAATGTTTCAGCTACGTAGGCACAACACTCTGCTGTCTACCACTGAGTTATAAAACATTATCATTCTAGCTGAAGCTACACAGAAGCCTTGGCCCCTCTCCCCATTCCCCAAAGCACACGCATATCCTGGTTGAAATAAACCACTACCCTAATTTGAATGTTTCCTGCCCTCCATTTCCTTGCTTTCCCTGGAATTGAGCATGGCTTGCTTTGCTTCATTTTTTGTTTGGAACAATCCGAACCTTTGAGGTTCCAAATGAATTACGAAGGTGGCCTAGGGAGGCAGAGACAGGTATGTATGCTAAGAGTTGAAATAATCAGTTGCTGGGCGGTGGTGGCGCACACCTTTGATCCCAGCACTTGGGAGGCAGAGGCAGGCGGATTTCTGAGTTCGAGGCCAGCCTGGTCTACAGAGTGAGTTCCAGGACAGCCAGGGCTACACAGATAAACCATGTCTCGAAAAACCAAAAAAAAAAAAAAAGAAAAAAAAGAAAGAAAGAAAAAGAAAAGAAAAAAAGAAAGAAAGAAAGAAAGAAAGAAAGAGAGAAAGAAAGAAAAAGAAAAAAGAAAACGAAGGTGGCCTGGACTACAGACAAGAGAAGACTTCTCAAGTCAGGAATAAGGCTTGACTGCCGAGGTAGGTCCTTTGTTTGGGGAGAGGTATTGCTGATAGTTGGAAGTGAATTCTTGTTTGAGGATCCGATGCTGACACCCAATTACAGATCAGCTTCCATGACTCCTCTGTTTTCAGTCTTTGTTCCTGCTGGTACACTGCTGTGGTATGGTTATCACCTTCAAGTTAAAGGCTAGTTTACTATTTCCTTCTTCAGTGAGTAAGGAAGTCACTTAAGTGACCCACATAAGGGCAGGTGTGCCTGGACACACATCCACACTCACTCCAAATCAAAATAAATAACATTGGCTCCTTAGGATACCTTACAAAGTCAGACTGCAAAACAACTGTGGGTCCCCATCCAAACTCTTAATGCTCCACACACATCACACTGACCAGGCCCTTCCTTTTCTCTTAAAGGAAACATGTGCTGTAATACGTGCTGGGGTTCTAAGTTCTAAAATACTGGCAGACAGGAAAGTTTACAGTTCAAGTAGAGGCTGGGGAATGAAGTGCTGATTTTAAATAAAGCATAGATAGGAATGGATTCAAAAGAGTAATTGTAAATTTGGCTACAAACCACCAAGCTTTTATCGAAGTACATGAGTCTGAAGCCAAACAGGAATGGAAACTAAACCATATACTGAATAGACTGTCATTTCCAACACTATTTAATTGCTAAGTAGGAGTAGGTTTTTCAGGAGTAGGTTCTTCCCTATCTCTTTTTGGAAGTTTCTCTACCCCACCTGCTGTGGAAATTTGGAGTCTATGTTTATAGGTTGGGTTTGGATATCTTTTTTTCTACTGAGCAAGAAAGCAGCTTTGCTTTTTATACAGTACTCTGTTCCCATCACATCTGTGCCCTCATTCTTACCCCCATGCCCATATTCTCCCCCCCCCCCGTTTCCTCTTACACACATGTTGACGGTTGGGGTATTAGAGATAGAATATGGTCACTCTTCCTTTTCTATGCATCTTTGTACCCTTCACTCCCATCATGTAAATTCCCTCTCAGTACACTAACATATACGTCATGTTTTCTATCAATTTCATCCTAAAGAAAAATTTTCTCCAGACTTCAGACCTGCAGCAGTTGGGGCCTGTTGTTCTGGAAGCTGCTCAATGGCTCTCATTCTGGTATCTTCATCAATAACTGGGATAAATCCCTTTCCTGTTATCTGGAGTATACACCTTTCTTGTGTTAGCTCTCTTCTTTTGGCACAGCAGTCTCTACTAATTTCCTAAGGACAAATGCTTAAAATTCTGTATGTCTGAAAACATCTTTATTCTTATCCTTGTATTTGATTGAGAGTGGCCTCATAGTTTTAAGTTACCATCTTTAGCTTCCAGTATTGCTATTGAAAAGCCTCCAAAGCATTTCTGATTATAAATTTTAGGCTCTTTTCTGTTTCTAGTATTTAGAAATTTACACAACAATGATGATATGTTTTTAAGAGTCAAAGACTTTATTTGAAGCTCTGGTTCTAGTCATATCAAAAGCTCTTGGACTTCCCAGTAAGAGCTAATAAAATTCCTTTGAGACAAAGATCTGAAGACTCATTGGAATGCTTTTATGTCCTTTCACTGACTCTACAACAAACATCAAAGTCAATGTCTAGTTCTTTATACTCTGACTATATTTATTCATATTCATTTATTCATATATAGATGTTTGTTTCATGCCCAGCATTTTACTTGAGCTGACCATACTGTAATAGCAAATAGAATTTGCTCTGCCCACAGTAAACTGAAGATAAATGCATATGTACACATCTGCACACATACATGTAATAAGGGCTTAAGGTAGCCAAAGATAGCACAAATCTGGATCCTTGCCCATTTCTAAAAGCATCTTATTTTCCTCTTCCCTCATCTGTACTGGTTGGGGAAATACTTCCCATCTTATTGAGTTTACAGATGCTGCATTTGCTGGTTGGGATGCTCTTCCTACTCTTTAAAGGACTAATTCCTCTGCAGTTTAGCATTCATCCTTCATGGCAGTTTTTCTCAAAGACTCTCCCCAGACTCACCAATTTTAACTTGCTGCTCCCCATCTCGCACATTGTTCTCTTCGTGGGACCCACATCATTCTATTTCTTTACAGCATTGGATGCATTTTTCTTTTCAGTGCATATAATATCCAGGGCAGTTCCTGACACAACGGCACCATTCAAAAACTGCTTACTGAGGGGATCTGTAGTTTTGTAACCCTGAGATAGGAGACAGCACACCCTACAAGTAGATCTTAGGAAGGGATTAACAGCTTACCTGAAATAGTTTAGCTTCTCCTAGACAAAGTAAAAAGTTTTTCTCAGTTTTCATTTTGAAAGTAAGAAAAACAAAACTGAAGGTGGGCATGATAATGCATGTATGCCTATAATCTTGGCACTTGGAAAATATCAGGAGGAAGGTCTCAATCCTGTTCTCAAGCTGGAGCCTACCTAGATTACTGAGTGAGACTCTCAAGAAAAAACAAAACAAAACCCACCTCGTACAAGTCCCCAAATTGGATGTTTTGATATTAAATGAACATCGTGGGAGGGCCACCTTTGCAAAAGGTCATACTTAAGTCTGTCCCATATTTTGGAGGTTTAAGAACTTGCTTGATTTCTCCTGTAATACTCATGCTCTATGAGAAATAATTCGATAAAGACCATAAGGAACATAAATTTCTTAGTCTCAGTAGGAAGTAATTTCAATCATAAAATACGGAACTCTGTTATTAACTGTCAAGTTTGGTCTACAATTTGGGTGGATATTTGGTACAGTATCTGCAAGGAGGAAGGGCACCGATAGAAATGTCTATGCTACCCGTTTCTCTCTCCCCCGCCACCTTCCCGCTCTCCTTTGTAGATTTCATGGTGGAAGTCTGTTGATAATCACAAGGAAGGTAAATGTCACGGACATTCGCTTCTAGAAACGTTAAGCCGGGAAATTCGGCTGAGTCTTCTGTTGCAGTAATGAAGAACAAAAAAAGGCAATAAAGAATTTGGCACATTACCAGGTCTGGAACAGGGAAAGGGCAGGCATGGTGTGGTATGCCTAACATCTTGGGGCCACATTTCTTCTGGAGAAATTTGTCCATTCCAGACCACGTGGCTGAGATGTTGAACATCTGAAAGGTACTTTTGATGGCTGAACTGAACAAGGACTATATACCCAGTGTAGCTTGGCACCTGAGTGCACTGCACTCTCAACTGAACTGCAACTCCTGTTTGCTTTATAGTTACTGTTACATTTAGTTACTCTGTGTACCCTGGCTCTTGATGCACTGCAACAGATACAAAGGCATCCATTTCAGAACACAATTTCAAAACAAAGCTTTTCTGTGGATTCCCCTGGTTTTAACTGCCGAGTTTCAGGCTGGGAGATGTAAGGTCTTCACCAACTCAAAAAGTATGCATTTGTCACAAATGGATGTTCTGCTTTTGTTCTGTTCAGCCTCTACCATATCCGAGATAGTCTTTCCCAAACTTTAATATGTGGAAGAAACCCTGATTCTCTGTGTGTGCGTGTGATACCGTAATACCATTTAAAAGGAGGAAATCATTTTGAAATTAATTTTTACCTAGTATTACATTATTTTTCAAGATGGCAGAGACCAACTGACTTCTTATATCACTAATAATGCAGGAGACATAACACAGGATTTGAGTTTTATTAGAATATTAAGGCCTCCATTTCTTTCTTGTTAGTTTCTTGTGTGCTGTGTGTGTTTATGGACTTAGGTCAATTAGAAAACTCTGGCCAATTCTAACAAGTCCATGGTTTCTAGTGTTTAGCTTCTGACACTGAAACATTATCCAGTGTCAGAGAAGCCACTATCTTCAAACAGATCTGAACCCATCCAGATCCTACTCTACTAAAACCAGGAACACCCAACCTTTCCAATTAAACAATCCACCCACAAAGGTTACTGAATTAAACTTAAGGAGATTTAGAAAGAAATTTAGTCAGTGAAGGGAATTCTGAGTGCCTCTGGCATTAGTAAAGAGAAATACTTAACTACTGGAAGGGCGTGAGAATCAGTTACACAAATCTGTGCTGTGGTTGTTGGAATATGTAACTTGAGTATAGCATTCTTTACTGGCCCTTTGCCCTTATCCCAAAGTATGCTCGCACAACAATGTTTTCACTTCATTTATTCCTTTAAAACAAGTCACTTCATACATTTAGATATTGAAAAATCACATACCATAAATAAAATGAAATGCATCTTAATAACAAAGGCAAAATCATGAGTTGTATAAAATGAAGTTAGACATCTCCCAGAGAGCAGCAGTGCATCAACTTTGGAAACTTGCTGGCAAACGACAAGGGAACATTCTGAAAGCAACACTAAGAACACATTTTTCATATGTCAAGGAAACAACTCTTTCTGTTTGGCCCTCTTTTATACCTTTGAAATTATGTTCTGAGCTCTGTATTTCAGGCTTTACTGGTGATTTCCTTATTTAAGGAACTCTGCCTCGATAAGACTATTTATTTTTCATTCTTGTCCTTTTGACAATCTATATGTACTTATTAGGCATTCTTAAAGAAAACAAATAATTTGGTACAAATGCATTTCCTGTGGCACCTTGAATGGCACAAATGTGAACATATAGCCCTTGTCCTTTAAGTAATTGATGGGTTACACTCAACTAAACATTCTATTATGTGTTCTGGAGTGAAGCCACATCAACTGGGTGGAAACTCTCAGCCTTCTTACCTGTAACTTAACCAAATCACACATTCGCTATACTTAAATTCCTATATACAAGTTCATGTGTTTCAAAACAAAGTAAAAAGGTGCACCATGTAAGATGCTTGTATTCATGGCCTTATAGATTTCCTTTTTAGTAGTACTCATCCTTTTCACCTTAAAATGCCATGGGAAGGCTAACACCCTCCCTTAAATCAAATGAATTAAGACAAAACACCCCATAACTCAGTAAACATAATACTTTGTTTTCCAAATAAAAGTCAAAGCACTGTAAACAAAATGTTAGCTAATTTTTGAAGAAAGAAAAACAACAACAACAACAAAACCAAACCTTTCCCACAACCAAGGCAGTCTTATATTCATTGAGTTGGATGTGCTGACACATTACAATAGACATTAAGAAAACATCCTGGGGCAGGAATGCTGATCAATAAGCACTTACCCTAGCAGCAAAAAGCCCTGGTTTGGATGCTTAGCACTCTGAGTAACAAATTAGCTGATTCAAATAAAGTGTTCCTTTAGGTTTGCAAATACTGCTTGCATATCTTACTCAAAATCAATTTCTCCAAAATAAGCTTGCTTAAAATGAAAGGTTTGATGAATGTACTCTTTAACAATCACATTACAGAAGCAACATTCCTTACCTTAGGGCATAGACCATGCTCCTAACAGTGAGTGAAATTAGACTGTATCATGAGATACACAAATACTGATGGCAACAGCTTATGAGAGCTGCTGGCTAGCAGCCCAGGCTTGTATCTTTACTGCCCTCAAGATCTTCTAGAGAGTTATGTAAACTTTTATTCTCTAATTTTTAAAGTGCTGCAAATGATGTTTCAACACATGAAAAATGTGATTTTTAATATATGTAAATTTAAGAAGGCCACCTGATTTTTTAATATATAACGTGTGTGTGTATAGATCACTGTTGCTTAATTTCACATATATCCTACTGTAATTTTCCCACAAAGACAGAAAATTCAACTAGGGAGGCTTGAAGGGAGGAAGCCAGCCAGACAAGTAAGTAGGCAGGAGCAGTTAGGGGCATAACTGGGTAGGGAAATAATGTTAATGTGGGATTCTGATTTTTCTGGGACTTGAACTCAATAGAGCATCCAAATGGCATTAATGGTATTAGTTCCTAACAACAAGGTTAGGCTGGCCAGTGACCACTTGATTATAACCACTTCACATTCATAGAGAGCTTTAAGAAATCAACCGTGAATCACTAGCAAAAGGTGTGGTAGCATCAGGATGCCTTCATGTGGGGTCATATCACAAAATTCCCAGAGACATTAATTTGGACTACTGCTGTGACTAAAGTATCTTTATAAAAACACACTGAATCTTTAATCCAAAAAAGAGTGGGGGACACTGGGGAAGTGGGGGCAAGGCATAATTTATATTCTACCACTAATGTAAACTGTCTCATTTGAATTAAGAAAAATTCTTGTAGGACAGGCAAAAACTGAACAGAAAGGGCTTCATTAGGACATAGTTTCTTTTAGCTTTGCTGCAACTAAATTCACAGATTTTTCAAAATCCTAAAAATAAGTTTTCTCACAATTTCAAGAGCTTAATAAACACAGGAAAAATACATAACGAAACTTTTAAATTCTATGAGGCTTAACAGCTTGTATTTGGAATGAACAGAAATTAATAATGAAATAATTTGCATATAATGCTTCACCTGGAATGTTTCACAACAAAAACACTACTTACTCTAAAACTAGTTCTCATATCAGCAAATGTTTAAAATGTCTTTTTGAAAGTCATTTTACTATCAAGTATCTACCTGGCAACCGGACAAACCAAGTAAAAGATAAAATAAGAAACAATCCCCTAAATAAATACTAAACACACAAATAACACTTAGAACAAAGATTTGATTTTTAAGATACCAGTGCTCATTCTATTTCTTTACATTTACTGAACAAATCCTCTGTACATTATATAGATTCAATTTTAAAGTGACAGGAATTTATTTTCAAAAAATAGAACATGCCTGACACATTATAAGTTATTCAATAAATACTTGTTACATGAACAAACTTCTGGATCCAAAAGTTTAGAAATACTGAATTTGGATGCTCAAGTGGTAAAGGAAGGCAAGCTTTATAAATACAATGCATAACCCAGTGTTACATTTTTAATGTACAGCTTTAAATTAAATTTTTTATAGAGGAAACAAGAGTTTTTAAAAAAATCTAAATCAGATGACAAGTACAAAGAGACTTTTGTGACAATCATTTACATGTCATGAACACCAAATGTTCAGCATCCTAAGCTCACTAGTACTATCTTTAAGGCTCGGCTAAAAAAAGAAAATTAAACATTTCAATTTATATTACTATAGTAATGCCATTGCCTGCCTGACTATGTGCACAAAGGGTATTCAAGAAAAGTCACCTGGCCAGACATGGTGGCCCCGCTTGTAATCTCAGTACTCAGAAGGCAGAGGCAAAAGGATCGCTTCGAGTTGGAGGAGCCTGGTCTATATAGCAAGTTCCAGGCCAGCAAGAAACACACAGGCAGACCTTGTCTCAACCCAAGAAAGAATGTCATCTGATGATTGAAGCATACGTTGTGAACTGTTCAACTGTCCTTAAAGGAACTTTCTAAATTGTTCACTCTAACATTCCTTCATTTGACATGGTCATCATTATCACATAAAAGGCTAAGGGTTGACTTTGATTTTAAAACATTTGCTAAGAAGAATCATGGAAAGATGTTAAGTGCTTTAAAGTGTGCCAATCGTTCGCTGAGATATTTAATGAATGAGATCAAGATACCAAACCTCACAACAGTATGCCTCTTTACATCATATGACAGAATATACAACAAATTATAACTTAGCATCCCTGATCTTTAGAAGAATTAAGAGGTAGAACACTTTACCTGGAAGATTCTATAGTGAAGCTAAGTTTTGAGAGCACATGCCTTGAGGATCAACCCATCCAGCAAATGGCTACATACCTGACACTAGGCAGCAGTATTCTGAGAGAGCTGTATAAGGCAAGGGTTTTAAAACTTTGTATATTTTGTAAGTGAAACAAACCAAATCAATTATTTAAAAACTGAAAGTCAAAGATCACAGATGAACAAAGTACTAACTTGCAGAAATGTGGAATATCCAAAAGATCATAGTAGAACTATGAACACTGTTATCTATGAAAAAGATTTTCAGGAAACCAAAGCATACCATTGACACTTTAGAGGAAGACTTGTTTGTAAGAAGTGCTTTGAGCTGAAGAGCTGAGGAAATGAAATCCCTCCAGAAAAATTTATATGCTAAAAAGCAAAAGAACTAGACACTCAAATTTTCAAGATACTTCTTAAATTTTAAACTAAATCAGCAATTAAAAAGGCATACCCTGCTTCATTAAAAAAAATTATCTAATGTGACAAACACCAATACATGAATTGCATTAAAACATGAGGCCAACAGTCTTTTAAAGCTTCAGTAAGCTGCTTCAGGCACCTTTTCCCCTTATACATTCTACTTTTATACACTAGAAATCTCAACAGGACCATATCAATTCCTGTCTTAGATAACATTCTCAAGGGATATACTTATCCCTGTAAAATTGCATTTAATGTACTTGCAAGTAGTTAGATACACTTATAAAGTCTACCAAATTGCAATATAAAAAGTTTTGACAATTCTGAGTATCTTCATTTGATGAATCAATTCAGAATTTAGAAACTACTAACTCATTCAAAGTTATTAAAAGGAATCAACTACTGGAGACACTGTGGTATCTGTCCAGTGGCCCTCCACAAGACTTTCCACATTACCTAAAATATGTTTTCTTCTATAAGCTAAAGCCACTGGGTGCTGGTTTATAATACAATCCAGTCTTCGGGTTAGCATCACAAGTGGCCAAAACCACCTATTCCGACACCCCAGTAGAAAGAGGGCATGCCACTAGTGTAGACACACATCTGTAAACTTGCACACTGATTTTAATCTTAATAAGGAATTTCAGTGTCAGTCATACTGGTTTAAGAAAAAAGGATGGTCCAAGCATTGGGTTCTATTCTGTAGGGTTATGAATAGCTTATTAGAAAACCCAGAGCCCTCTGGATCTGTGAGGTAGTAGGCTCCAATTCCTATGAACAGATCACACCTCTCCAAAGTTGGTATGGCCTGTCTCCCTGGCATGGTCCCTTGCTTCCGCTTGTCCAGTTAGGCCCTTCTGACACACCATGCATCTCAGGGTGAAGCGGTTTACATCAGTGAACTGTCTCTTTCTTCTAGCTTCATCAGCTAATTCCAGTGCTTGGACAAGAACAATATCATCATTTGAGGAGAAAATGGTCAGAGGAGGGGTATCCGCATCAGGGAAAACCCGCTGAAGAGGATCATAGTGAATGCCATCGTAGATCAGCAGAACCCTTTTGGTATATCCCGCATCTTCCCCAAAACGATCAATTCGGACTGTCTGTGTATCTACTACACATATTTCACATTGATAAAACTTAGACAGGATTGATATCTCAATTGCTCCCCCCCAAGTGTCATCCCTTCTGATCCAATCACAGTATTCTTTGTTTGTTTTTCCCAGGATTGCCTCACTATACAAGTCTGGATCACTGGCTACAATTTGTGCTATGAGGCGTCTCATCTCAGGGGCACAAGCTGGATTCAAGACTCCTCCTTCAACGACATAGTACACACTGGTAAAGAGGCAAGAGTTGTCTGCTGGGACTGCGGTTCTGGTAAGCACAGGCAGAGTTTCCCTGACATAACTAGGAGCACCATGTTTGGAAAACGCAGGTGAAGCTTTTGGTCTGGTTTGGTCTTCTTCAACAATCAGCATGTCACCTGTTAAAAATAAAACAAATCCAGAACTGCAGAGAAATTATAGATTGGGTGTTTATTAGCCAACTCAGGAAATTTAGAAACCGAATGAGTTAAAGGTATAAAGCAGTGTTACTAAGGAGAGCATAACTTTGTAAACAAGAGGCCAGTAACTCTGTTTGTGTTTAGTTCACTGTGTCTTCAGAAAGAGGAAAACAGAACAAAATGCTTCGCGTTGCATTTCAACTTAAAACCAAATCTTTCAGATGTTCTCCACAGACTAGGTCATCTGGGTGTTCTTGCACTTCGCATGACTATACCATTTGTCGGTTCGAGGGGCCTTGGCACAAAATGGAAAGCTTTTAGTGGTCAACACCAACGTTCAAGTTCTAAAACTGGGGACAAATAACTGCTGTTGGTTAATTCTACAGTAAAAACACGTCCAAGTGTATATGGAACAAACTAAAAAGTTAACTGAGGGAAAACTAATTAAGACAAAAATCGGTATCTCAACTGCTGACCTGCGGATCAGGATAGGGAAAAAGAACCATTCTGTCAGGGAAAAGGGTCCTGCTGTCCTTTGGGAAAGCAGAGAAAACGAATGATCGGGAAGCAGGCTAGGGAACAGGGAGCTTCAAGACTCTAGGCTTGTCTCTAAATCATTGGTAAATGACTTGACACCTGCCCCGGCCTTCCCGGAGGTCTGGTCCTCGAAGCCCCTAGTTGTCACACCGGCACTCTGCCTTATCGGCTTCACTCTTCTCCCCTCAACGTCCTCCAAGACTTCCCCGGCCCCAGCCGGTTGCCCATACCTGACTGGATGGGCAGGTCCCCAAGAGTGATGTCCCGGTCGCTGAGATCCAGGCACTCCGGTGGGTAGCCGACGAGGATTCGCTGACTGCCCGGAGCGATGCCCGTGATAGCGGCGATTTGGCCCTGCAGTTCCCGTAAGCGGGTCCGGCTGGAAAGACCCTGCAAAACGTGGGTGCCACCTTTGGCCTTGCAGCGGAGCCGCCACATAGTGTCGGCCGGCCGGCCTCCTGCGGAGCCAGCCTTGGTCCCAGCAACAGCCTGGGAGACAGCGCCGGAACAACCAGCGGGGGGGACCCCAAAATGGCCGCCTTTCGCGCCTCCAAACATCGCGAGAAGTAGCCGCTGGGGCGCCTCTCGCGACACCTCGATGGGGACTCGGCCTCGGCCCTTCCAAAAAACCGCGCGGGCTCTTAAAGTGATAAGGGCGGCCGCCGGTGAGCGCTCCGGTGAGGCGAGCTTCGCGTCGGCAGCATTTATGCTCCAGGGAGGAGGGCGGGGGAAGGAGTTCCCGAGTCTAGCAGAGCAGAATGTCACCCTGCAGGGAGGTCGGAAATGATGAAAGCTGCCTCCGAAACATCAGGCAAAGCAGACTCATCGTCGAGAAGGTAAACAAATGCCAAGACAGGTCAAAGGACCGGCCAGTCAGTCACACTGCTGACGAGGTTCGCGGCTGCACCGAACTGATTCATCGAGGCCAAGTTGGACGGGACGACCGGAGTCCTGTGAGACGAACTGGAAAGCGTCCATCTGCCACCTCAGAAAGACTGTATGAGGTCAGCAGCCGTGCCTGGGGCGATTGCCTCACTCGCGGGGTGGCAGTGTTCAAGAGGACTAACTCTTGTCATCCGGATTCCAGTTCGATTCCTCGTATCTTGGGAATGAAGTCCTCGTTGTGGCTGAGAGACAGACGAAGGACGGGGAAGAGGAGACCTAACCAGTTAGCTAGTCAGTTTCCAGCTTTGTAACGCCGAGAGCCGGAGACTGCCTTGACCCAAAGAAGGTGTGCAGTAAACGCCGACTAATGACAGTTTGCAGCGCTTTAACAAGCGGGGGGTTGTAAAACGCATACCTGCGTTGTGTGGAAGATGACTTGACTCCCCGGTAAAGAAGGAACGAGTAAAAGCAACTCTAGGGTCCCCCTCCCCACTGTGGACTGTCAATCAGGCACCAACGGTGGGCTGGTGGAGTAACTTTGATAGGTAGTTCTGGAGTACGTAAACCCCACTGCAACAGCCTCGACTGTGAATCAATGACAGCAAATCTGTTCCTCTCCACCCTTACACCAGGAGCGGGTGCAGCTCGCCTCCTTGGCTCTTCAAGAATGACCCCAGATAACATAGCCTGGGTCCAGGGTTGCAGGAGGAAATAAAAGGAACCTGCTTTGGAGTCACCTGGAAGGTGACTGAGAAGCTCCCGGATCCGTAGCTTCCAGGATCCTGACCATATGTCGTAGTTAGCCCTTGCATTCTGGTAGCCAGCAAGGCATCTTTAAAAGCCGACATCAATCTCCCAGAACCTAGTCTAGCTGGAGATTCAGGAATGAAGGCGTTAACCCTCATTTTTCACCAGTCACTCCCACGCAAGATGTCACCCCAAACAGGTCTCGCGAGAATAAGAAAAAAAAAAGTAAGGCTTTTAATGAACCCCCGCCTTCAGCTCGATTTGTTTCCAAGCAACAATGCCACCAAGCTCCACTGGGTCGGCTGCCTCGGGAGCTGACAGCCTTAGGTTGTCACAGGTTCCCCCCCCCCCCACCCAGACCCCAGGAGCCCGCCCCCTGGCCTGCAGGTGCTTCATTGGTCCAGCGTGCCTCCAGGTGAGGCTGACGCGAGGGTGGGCGGGGCCAGTCGCCCCACGTGACTCGCCCCAATCTCCGCGAGCCCGGACTTCTTCAGTCTGTCTGCCAGCTCTGGTTCCCGGCGCTCCGGTGGCGACACCGGGTCTACAGCGGGGAGGACGAATAGGACAGGTCTTAGGGTGAGCGATAGTTGAGCGGTCTGGACGCGGGGCTGGGGTGTTGCGCGGGCGTGGTTAAGGTGCAGAGTGACCGTGCTTCGTGCTTTCGGCAAGTGTAGCTCCCATGAGGCTCCTGGGCGTGCAGCCCTGTAGGGACGCTGAGCCGGAGCTGCTGTGTGAGGACTGCAGAATTGGCTCTGTCAGGCCAGGAGCCGTACACGGTTTTCCTTTTTGTCTTTGTCTCTTTTTTAAATGGAATCTTTTGTCTTGAGCTCCGTGGTATCGGGGTTTGAGAAGTGAGCCCCAGTCTCTCTCGCCCTAGTTGATACCGGGGACCCAAGGCTTATTTTGCAGGTAATGTTGAGTAAGTCATTTACTTCCGCTGCGCCCTAGGGGATGGATAGGAAAGGGCAGAGGCTGGAGAGCACAGAACGGCAGAGAATGTAACATGCTAGGGCTCTCTCAGTTCCACTACAGTGCTTCCTTCCTAGAATGTGCTTTCACCCCGTCCCTCTCAACACAATCCCCAAATTCATTCACATTCTCTCCCTCTCCCTCCCCACGTTCCCCTCTTCCCCTCCCTCTCCCTCTTCCTCTCCCTTTCCCTCTCTCCTTCCTTCTCCCCCTCTCCTTCCCTCTGTCCCTCTGTCTTCCTCTCCCTTCCTCCTTCAAGACTTAGTTTTACCTTTGGATTGTGATTGCTTTCTTGATAGTGGACTCAATCTATCCCCACTGATTGCCACCTCTGTTCTGTCCATATTCTTAAAACTAGAATGTGAGGTCAGGAAACTCGAACAACTTTGGTTGGTTGTCTTCATTTGTCAATTCTGTAAAATAAGATGAAGTAATCATGCTAGGAAAATCTGCTTTATTAAGATTATTGGAAGGCTTGCTGGGTTTGAGATGTATGACCGTGAAGCAAGTCAGCAAAGAAATGCAAAGTTGGAGTGCAACTGGATAGCTGAGGAGTCAGGCTTGTGACTTATCCAAGAACAGTGTTTGACCTGGATCTGCATAGCGGGTCTTCCTTGTATCACACTAATCCTCTGCATCGTTTTTAGGGACACCTTCCTTCGCTTCTTTCTATTGTATTCTCTCTTTCTTCCCAGGTGCCTCCTGAAGAACTACCATGTCTGGGAATAGTACATTTTCCACAGAAGATAGCAGCAGCTATAAACCCAGCGCCTCAAACCTCCGCAGGGCAGGGAAGAAATGCTGTGAGTTCTGGTAAAGAGTGACTGACTGCTGATCCTTCTTAGGATTTTTGTCCCAGAAATGTATTTGTATCCTAGACTTTTGCTCTGTGTGGGTGGAGAGTAATTCTTTGCATGACAATTTATGTTTTATTTATTTTGTGCCTGGATCTTACCACAGAACCCCAACTTGCTAGGTACTTGCAGTGTAACCCAGGCTGCCCTCTGACTCATCATACAAGTTTCCTCTTGTAACCTCTTGAGTAGAGACGTGTGCCTGTGTCTCACATGGCATAGGACTTAAGACAAAGTCCACAGTGAGCAATTCCCCGTCTCAAACTAGAAGGCTTAGTGTCTTTGGGGCTTCGTGCTGCTTTCATTAGGGATATGTGGGGAGCTAGAGCAAGTTATTTTATACATAGGATGGCCAAGTGTCATGGTACAGGATTAACCTGGGGCTGTCACTCTCAATCCCTTTACCTCTTGGACTGTGTTCTTGGAAGGTGACACTTATTGCATTCATTGAAGGCAGAAGCCAGGTATGGTGGCCCACACCCATGATCTAAACCCTGGTGAGATGGAGGCAGAGGGTCAGGGGTTCAAAGTTGTGGTCAGCCACACATATTTAGTTCAAAGTAAGCCTGAGTTACTTGAGACCTGTCTCCGAAAACAAATACAAGTTGGAGGTGAGAGCTAGCACTTAAATCCTGTTCCTCCTGGCCATGAGGTAAGTGAGCTCTGACATGTGACTCACAGTGTCTGGTGCTTGAAATTCTTACAGGGTTAGCTTTGGGGTTTTGCAGATTCTTTTACACAAGCATTTTAATGTACAGAGATGGCAGAGATGGTGGCAGGGGAATGAAGCATCATTTCTTGTCCCCTTGACTCTACATTCCTAAGCAAGGCTGTATACTTCCTTAGAAATCTGGGGCATTGGTCCTCAGATATTTCTGGAAACCTCAGGAACCTTCTAGCACTCTTCCTACGGGAACCTCTGGTCAGTTCTCATTTTATGGAAAAGTGCTCATGTGTATACTTAGGTGGAAGGAGGTAGTTAGTGTGCGATCTGTCTGGTCAGTTACCTCAGAGTTCCATGGGGTGTCACGCTCTTTCTTGTTACTTTCATGCCTTTTATCTGGTTTCCATGAGGCATATGCTGGATTGATGGAGTTACAATACTGGGCTTAGCACATCTCTATGGTTAGGGTTTCCTTTTCTTGCTAGGCCAACAAGCTGCCACCTAAGGCAGACTGTCTCATGAGTAAACTTAGAGCATGATGCTTAATTATAGTCCCTTTGGTCTGTCTTTTGGGGTTTGAATGGTGGTTTTGCTGTTTCCTTGCTATGTACCCTTGAACAATTTGCTTAAGCTCTCTCTTTCTCAGTTTACTCTGTAAGGAAGCAAGCCTCCTCTCTCTGTGCCCTTTTACTGTCTCCTCTCCTTCCCTTCTTGCTTTTGACATGTCTCACTCTGTAACCCAGATTGGCATTAAACTTGTCATTTTTTTGCCTTAGATCCAGAGTGATTGGATTACAGGTGGACACTGCCACTCTTAACCTAGTTTACTCCATTGTAAAGTGGAGACACTCTGGACTTCATAACTGTAAATCCTCCCAGAAATGATGTGAGAAATAGATAAGTACATATAGACAAGTGCTGCTGAGATGGATGTTGGACATAGCTGCTGTCGTTTTTCACAAGCGACTCTTAACCTTTTGTATCTACCTTGAAACATTACATATAAGTAGACTTACATTTAAATGCTGCCAGCATCTCCTAATTTAAGAGCCCTGTAAAGAATCATCTTTTCAGTGAAGAACAGATACTATTATTTGACAATATCGTTACCCAGTTGTTGTGATCCAGTGTGTCTCTCTTAAAAGGAGTGTGCTTCAGTTACTAGGCTATGTAGTCCGAAAGACAGCAGAAGGGTGGGAGTGGACTTCAGAAAGAGCTCGTTCCTATCGACAGCCCTTCTAGCTCTGCCTTGCTCTCGACTAGCCACTCAACTAGCCGTTCCTGCCTGCTTCCAGAGCTCTGCGAGAGCTTTACATCATAATCTCTAGACTCATCCCTGCTCCAGATGTTTTTTGATCTAATCGCTACTCTTTTAAAACTGCTTTTTCTACCCAACTAAAGGACTCTGAGATGTCATTTCTGTACCTAATCTTTCTTCCTTCACAGCTAGACCATGAGATTTTGAGATCCTTAGGAGATTACAGTTTGTTTTTCTCTGCTGTGCACAGAGACTTGGCAGTTTGATTGTTATAGACATCTTGTTCTCATCCATCTTACTAAGGAGAACAGATTCATAGGCACCTATTCTGCTTTGCTGCCTGTCCTTTTTTAAGAACCTCACTCAGGGTAAGTACCTTCTCTAAGTTGATAAACCCAGCCTCACCCTATTTGCATTGTTTTGAGACTGTGCCTTGTTACAGACTCCCTGGTTGCCTGTGTTGTTTTATTTATAGCACAACTCCTGTCTCCTTGCAGCTCTTTACACCTGCTTGCTAACTCTGAATCTGAGAAGTGACTGATTTCTCCTCAGGCAAAAAGATGACTGTAGTGAATGAGCCAAACCCTTCAAAGGAGCCTTTGGGACTTAAATTGTTTCGGGGTTGGGATTGTAGGAGGGAGTGCTGGATGGGGTACATTCAAGGTACCCAGGGGAGGGGCTCTAGAGGTCACTGAGAGGAGGGTCTTATATGCTTACTTGCTTTCTTTCTTCCTTTCTTTTTTTTTGAACAGTGCCTAAATGTTTTTCATAACCTACATTTTTCAAATTAGACAGTTTTGCACAAAAATGACACAAAAGGAAACTTAAATTACCAATAGTTTACATGTAAGCTTGATTCCAGTCTTAATGAAAAGTAGAACTGAAACAGAAACCCTCAGGCAAGCTTCCACGTTGCACTCCTGTTCTGTGACTTGCAGCTGTTAGCGCTCCTGGAATCTTCGATTGTTGCTTTCAGGCTACAAATATATGCTTTCTTTATTAAGTCCTTTCACTCTTTCTCAACTTTTGTTTATTTATTTATTTTAAAAATATTGCTAGTGGATTTGGAGAAGACAAATGTATTTTTCCCTAAATACAAAAGCAGTGTGGTTTAGAAAAGCTCAATTAATGCAAGAAGAAAATGTGGAAGGGAAAATCCCTTCCAGTCTCTCCTATCTTTGCTAGATTCACTTCTTTTAGGTGTTTAATTACAAACATAGGTGTACTTATGATATACACACTCTTCTGTTACCATTTCCTTATAAAGAGTTTACTCTACTTTGGACTGTTTTTTTTTTTTTCATGTTGGTAAATCCAGATTTACCTTTCTACACTGTGTGAGTTTCAGCCAATAGCTGTGTGAAGCTTTTCACTATCATACAGAACACTTCACATTAGTACTTCTATCTGCTAATATCAACAGCTTTTCTTACAGAAGTAAAAGGAGAGTGATAGACCCAGTAGAATCTTCATCCACATTGAAAATGTGTTCTTTGAGTTTTCAGTTCCTCAAGATATCTATTTGCTGGAGGTTGGGTATTACTGACTATAGCTACACTGCTTAAAAAACTACCAGTTTTCTAGTATGTGGCTACAGTTCTCTGAGCTTATTTCATACTTATCAGTCAGATGGCAGAAGGCAATCAGGGTTTGCAGCTTCTAATGAATAAAATTAAAATGATATTAATGATACATGCCTTATGGGTTGCATATTTCAAAATGCTGGGCCCATTTAATGTTGATAATGGAAAAAGTCCTTGGCCATGAGAAGACCAGGAACCATTACTCGCCTAGACATTCTCCCAGATAAGCATGGAGAACACAGTCATGCTTTCCATGGGACCTTTTGTCAGGTGCTAATGTGAGGGCCAAGAACCAGCAGATTAGGCTGAATAGCAGTCACGAGATAGTGTGGTTAAGAAGCCTGACCTTGACTTTCTTGTGGTCCTGAGGGCCAATCGCTTTCCTTCCCTAGGCTTTAGTTTTCCCATTTATATGAAAGAAACTGTCAAGCTCTGATTTTGACTAAGCAAATTCATAAAGAGAAAATGAGTTGAAGCTAGATAAGCCAGTTTAATTTCAAATAAAGAAGACAAAAAGAATTTCAGGGTTGAAACAGTTTTCCACTTTAAGAAATGCTGTCACTGTGTTACCAGGTCAATCAGTAGGAAGTACCTCCATTCAAACTTAGGTGGTGCTTTGCTTTTTCAACAGATAGGAAACCATCTTCCTTGTTTTACCAGTGTGGCAGTTTGAGAGAGGAAGTGTTGTTTAGTTTTGTTTTCCTTTCTCTTTTTCCAGAAGTTGAGAAGCCATGGTTATACCAGGTGTGTGAAGCCCTGGTTATAGCAGATGTGTGCGTGCGTGTGTGCGTGCGTGTTTGTGTTTGTGTGTATGTGTGTGTATGTGTATGTTCTATGCATGTTCTAGACTGAGGCTGGTGCTGTGGTGCTGAAAAGTAGGAGTATGGAGTGCCTGTGGCACAACCCTGTGTTTTCTTTTGTACTTAGCTTTCTTTGTCCAGTATGGTAAGCATAGAGCAGCCACTCCTTGGTTTCTTTTAGAGCAGCTGCTAAGCATGCATTTGTTCTAAACACTGAGGAGGGAAACAGCACCTTTGGGGAAAGTGACTAATGAGCTGGAAGATGTGGCAGAGAGGCCTTTAAGTACAGCTGATGTGCCAAATCATTGCACATCCAGAGGAGTATGCATTAAGCTGGGGAACATGAAGACTCAGGGGTTTTACTACTCCAGCCTGATGCCTGGTAGGGTTGTTTGCCTGCTAAGGGGTCAGTGCTCAGTGACTTAGGCCACAGAGGCTGTATGGTGTTGTTTACTCATCTCTAAGCTCCTTGTTTAGATAGAGATGAAAATTGCTTAGCTGCTCCTTTACCTGTCTTGGTAGAGCTCCTTGTCCTGAGTCAACACTATCTCCCATGCAATGGGGGTTGGACTCTCGGTAAGTGATCTCTTAGTTCTTTTTGAAGGAAGGAATCCAGTCAAGAGACATTTAATAGAATGCTCAAACAGAAGTTTATTTAGCAAAGTGAAGCAAACAGCCTAAAGAGATTGAAGTATGCTTCTTAAAGCAGGGAACAGCCCAGTTGGTTCTGAAATGTGGGTTTTAAAGAACTTTTTGTGAGTATCTTGTAGGTGGGTGCCTTTCTCCTTCCAAACTGTAGTGGACCACATCTTCTTTTTAGCTTTTTTCTTCTCATGTTCCCTACAGAAGGGGAGGTGTCACAGCAGCAATGCATATGATATAATGATTTCAGGTCTTTGGAGAAGGAAGACCCTTCGTAGTGTGCATGTATGTGAAATGCCCTGATGCCTTTGTTTCTGGCTCAGTGAGAGCAGCTTCACTGCAGCTTTAGAGATGCTAAACCTCAGTAGTGTTCTCTTCACCCTCCTGGCACATGGTGATGGCCCTTTTGCAAAAGGGTGCCAGGAAGAAGAAGCTTAGGGTATATTTTTGCCCTTTGTTGTCTGTGTATAGTCTTTCTCCATGGAGAGAGCCTTCAGCTTGAGCACTCCTGGATAACCTCAGTTTGGGTCTTGACTTCAAGAAAGAGGTGATCAGGCACAAATGCAGGTCTTTTCTTTACTACTGCTTTGTGGCGGCATGGACAGGGAGGAACCAGTTCCTTTAGCACACTGAAAAGGCCTCTTGTTGGGAGAAAAACTGTCTGGGAATCGTGGATATGCTTCCAATGCTGGGTTGACACTTGACTAATTTGTGTGTTGTAGAAGTCACTAGCAGTCTAAGCCCACAATCCAGTGAAACTTAAATTTGTAAATGAACATTCCTGAAATAAGTTAGTTACTATAGAAAGGTAAGTAAGACAACTGTCTTGCTCATCAGTCATCTTGTTTTTATATGAGCTATTGAGGCAGGCAAGCCCCCATGCCCTTGTGTTTGATCCTGAACCTTTATCAAGTCTAGTCAAACTTTTACCCTGTAGGCTTTGCTGACCAAATATCACTGTAGTTTAGAAATTAAAGTAAAGGAGGAGCTCATGACCTGAGTGCTGTTGCCAAAATAGTTTGAGGCAAGGTTTTTTTGGAAAGATGATCAAAATCTTGTCTGAGGTTCTGGAGGGATGGGTGGGTCCTCAAGGGAAAAATTCTGGGATCTCTTTTAAAGTCAGCCCATTTGGGGTAAGTAGAACCATAGCTACAGTGTTACTAGGCTTTCTCTCTCTTCCTAATCCTGCATACTATTTCTTTTCATCCTGGGAATCTCTCTAAAGACCTGGGAAAGAAATGCCTTGATGTGGGTACTTTATGGACATCTACATGACTCTTTAACTCTGTTTCAAGAGGATATACTAAATAAAGCCTCAGTTTGCCTTCTTACCCTTCCTGGACCTTTGCCCTCTAGGTTTATGAGGATTAAAATAGTTGATGACTATGAAGCTTCTGATCTAGTGTATAACCCTCATGAGCCATGTCGTCATTTTTTAGCTCTACCTGTTTCCTGTTTTTTTTTAGCATGGGCTTCCTATATGACCAACTCCCCAACACTCATTGTTATGATTGGCTTGCCAGCCCGGGGTAAAACTTATGTGTCCAAGAAACTAACACGCTACCTCAACTGGATTGGAGTACCCACCAAAGGTAGGTACAGGCCATTCCTTGGGGAGTTGATTAGTTATGGGCCCCACAGGTCTCTGAGAGACTTAGTCTTCTTAGCATCAAGGTCATGTAATATTTTTGACAAAAAATGAAGATTAATTCTTTATTTGTTGAATGTGTTTCCTGTCCCTAGACTTGTCTCCTCCAGGCCCAGGCAGACCATCCTAGTTTTGATGAAATACCTTTGGTAAAAGTATTCAGAATTAAATGAGGAGGTGGTGTCTCAAAACCCTTGTCATGTTTTTGAGCCTTAATAGTGTTCTTGTGAAACAGTAGTTGAGGAGGTAGACCCTCAGCTCTCCTCAGAAGCCAGGACTTTAACCCAAGTTTTCTTAATTTGGTATTGTTTCCAACATACATGGTCCTTTTTCCATCCCACTGGCCACTCTGTTAGGCCAAGAAGTCTCCTTTAGTGGGGCCATTGTATTGTTTTTGCTGCAGTGTTTAACCTTGGGGTATATCGACGTGAAGCAGTCAAGTCCTATCAGTCTTATGACTTCTTTCGACATGATAATGAAGAGGCTATGAAGATCCGAAAGTGAGTCTTTTTTTTTAAAGGGCCTGACTTAAATCAGCTGTTTTTAGGCAATTGTGAGATTGAATGTGTTAGGGTCCTGTTTTTCTTAGGAAATATCTTGAGGAGATTTTAAGGGAAGTTATTAGATTGAAAGACCAGCTTAGGTTGGGTGGGTAGCAGGCAGGACTCTGGAAGATGATTTTATGTGATGCCTAAAGAGATATAAGTCCTATGAATTGGACAGGGGGAATGTTGTAGGATGGTATATGAACTCCGTGAAAAAATTGAAAGATTTAGTTAGGGCAAACATTACAACCAGAAAGATACTGAGTGTGAAGTGATTCCTACAATTGTGTTTGTCTCTGGCCTTGTTTGATCTTAGCTCTTTTCACTGATTTCCTTTGTTCTCATGTCAGACAGTGTGCCCTGGTGGCACTGGAAGATGTTAAGGCCTATTTTACTGAAGAGAGTGGGCAGATTGCGGTAAGCCTTGTCTCCTTTGTTTCTTCATGTCCACTCTTCCAGCATCCTGACTACTCAGCCCCATCTAGAGTCAGCCTTGGGTGATCTCTCATTTTTTCTTCTGATTCATTTACTTTGTGTATTTTCTGTCTAGGTGTTTGATGCCACCAATACCACTCGGGAGAGGAGGGACATGATTTTGAACTTTGCCAAGCAGAATGCCTTCAAGGTGGGTTCTAACTCTGTGCTGGAGGAAAAGAGGAGTGAAGGGGGGATCAAGGTGGAGAGATAGGAATGTAGAACCTGACTCTGCCAAGTTCAAGATTTAGACATCTGAGTTTGTCCTCTCAGGGCATATGCCTAATCCTTGAGAGGTTTCTTTTAGATCCTTTCTTTGACCTTTAGTTAGCCTGTATATTTTAGAGCTAGAAGGTATGGTTAACATGTTTTTAAATGAAGAGGCCTTGAAGGCCACTTTATGAAGCAGATCCTAAAGATGTGGTACTGGGTGGAGTAGATGGGCATGTGCTTCTGTTAACAACCTGGCAGTTTTGACGGGTTTGTCATGCCTTCTCTGCATGCCCAGGTATTCTTCGTGGAATCTGTCTGTGATGATCCTGATGTCATTGCTGCCAATATTCTGGTGAGTGTCATCCCTGTCGTCATCAGTCTGTCAGCCAGTCAGCCAGTCTCTCTCTCTCTCTCTCTCTCTCTCTCTCTCTCTCTCTCTCTCTCTCTCTCTCTCTCTCTCTGTGTGTGTGTGTGTGTTGACTCTGAGTAGGAAAAGAAGGAAACAGACAGGCTTACTGTCATAGAGATCTTTACTTGAGAGCATTTTATGCCTTTATACTTTTATACTTCCTGTGGGAAAAGAATCTGGGCCTTTGAGGAATACAGTAAAAATGAGTTGTTGAATGGGGGACAGCTTAGGTTGTGAGAATCCTGGCTTTGTGTTCTGATATTACCTGACATTGAGACCTAAGTACTGCATCAGATTAGACTTCTTTTTCCTGCCCAGCCACCTCGTAGGAAGGTCATTTATTCTTCAGTTGTCTAATGTTCTGATCAGCATTGAGTATTGTACTACTGAGTCTTATGGACAGATCACTGGACAGTACATGGGATAACGTGTTTTGTCGTTTGCCAAGTAGGCATTTTGTATGCTCTCCTAGAGGAGCCCTTACATCATAGGAACTGTAGTTGTCTTATTTGAGGAAGAGGCAATGATTCCTGAGTCAAATACTGGGTCACATACCCTATTCTGAGTAGCAACAGGGGGGAAATTAGAGTTCATTCTGTATTCACAGGCAGATATATAAAGGAATCCAGGCTGAAGCAGCATTAGCTGCTTAACTCCCTCTGTCCTTTGGCCAAAGGCAGGCACATGACTCCCCATGTCTTCCCTTTCTTGGTTGCCAGTGTCACAGGACAGGATGAGAGTGTTCAGTGACTGGGGAATGCCAGTGCTCTAGTGAAAAGCTGCTTCACAGACTTCTTTCTCTGTTCTTTAGAAGAGGCTGTTTGTAGGAGGGCTCGCTCTTAAGAACAGAACTCTGACCACGCCTTTATGTTCCTGTGATTTCAGGAGGTAAAAGTGTCAAGCCCTGACTACCCCGAAAGGAATAGGGAGAATGTGATGGAGGACTTCCTGAAGAGAATTGAGTGCTACAAGGTCACTTACCAGCCCCTTGACCCAGACAACTATGATAAGTAAGGTTTAACACTGTGATCTGAGGGTTGAGGCAGAAGGAGAATTGACTTTCTCTCTTTTGATATCTAATTTCTTCTGGTGATCTAAGCCTGTGATATTTGTATCATTTCATAGAACAGAATTTTTATTGTGATATTGTCTTAGTTAGAGTTACTATTGCTGTGATGAAACACCGTGACCAAAAGCAAGTTGGGGAGGAGAGAGTTTATCTGGCTTGGACTTCCACATCGTCTATCATTGTGGGGAGTCAGGACAGGAACTCAAACAGGGCAGGAGTCTGGAGGCAGGAGCTGATGCAGAGGCCACAGAGAGGCTTGCTCCCCAGGGCTTGCTCAGCCTGCTTTCTTATAGAATCCAGGAGCATCAGCCAGGGATGGCCCCACCCACAATGGGCTGGGCCCTGCCCCACTGATCACTAATTAAGAAAATGCGCTACAGCTTGCTTATAGCCTGATTTTTATGGAAGCATTTTTCTCAATTAAGAATTTTTTTTAAATTCTCCTTTGAGATGACCTAAGTTTGTGTTAAGTTGACATAAAAGTAGCCAGCACAGATATTTATGTGAGTCATGTATTTTACTTAACCATGCTTAACCATATTTTCTTATCAGTTTTTCTTCTCTATTTTCTAGAGCAGCAATTCTTAATATGTGGGTCCTGATCCCTTTGGGAGTTGAATGACCCTTTCACAGGGATCACATATCAGATATCTGCATGTCAGATATTTACATTATGATTTGTAACAATAACAAAATTACAGTTATTGAAGTAGCAATGAAGATAACTCTATACGTGGGGGTCACCATAACATGAGGAACTGTATTAAAGAGTTGCAACATTAGGAAGGTTGAGAACCACTGCCCTGGGCAAGGCTTTCCATCTAAGCATTATTGACATTTTGAACTATGGATTCTTTGTTGCAGGGGCTACTCTGTGTATTCTAATATGCTAGCAGTCTCCCTGGCCTCTGTCTACTTGGTGCCAGGAACAGATCCACGCTGTGATGACTGAAATGTTTTCAGACATTACCAAATGTCTCTTAGGGGCCCAAATCATCTTTAGTTGAGAACCACTGCTCCAGATTTAGCAAATCAGAACTAGAATGCTATAGGATAGCCCTTGGAGATGTGTCATCAGTTTTAATCAATTTTAAAATTTGCCTTGGCTCAAGGAGAAATGTCTGATCAGTGTTAGCCATCATGACTGTGATAGTATCTCATGACAGTGAGCCATAGAATACAGATTGATTTGCCTGGTATGAGGTATAGTAAATGTTAAGTCCATGCTGAAGAAAGAGTATATGCATGGAGACATGTGGGAACATTACACTAAGAAATGTGTTTTGTTTTGTGTTTTTGAGATAGAGTGTCAAGGAATCCATACTGGCCTTTAACTAATTGTATAACAGGATGACCTTGAACTCCTGACCCTTCTGCTTTCACCTCTATAGTGCTGGGATGACTGGGTATACAGTTATATCTTGATGAAACAGTGTTATATTCACCAGTTTTCTCCCCATTGTGACATAACATTGAGATAAGTTACTCAGGAGAAGTTTGTTTTGGCTCAGTGCTTAGCAGATACAGCAACCTTGGCAGGGAAATGACAGGAGCAGGCCTGTCTTCCTCCAAGCACAGTGGTGAGAGGCTACTGCTTGCTCATATCTCAGAGGCTCAGGTAGCAGAAAAGTTGTGCTCATCCAGCTTTCTCTTCCCTCTACCCCTCTTTTTTGATTCAAGATCTCAGTGTTTCCTAGGATAACCTTGAACTCAGGGCAGTTCTGCCTCTGCCTCCTAAGTGCTGAGATTACAGGTGTGAGGCTCCATGCCTAGCTCCATTTTCTCCTTTTATTCAGCCCATGACCTTCTAGGCCATGAGATGATGCTGTCCACAGTGGAGTGTCCTTCATTTAGTCTTCTGTGGAAACACCATCACAGACATACCCAGAGGGTATGTTTCCCTGGTTTCCTAGGCATTGCTTAGTCCATTCAAGCTGATGACCAAAAGCAGCATTTAGGGCATTTAATAGGACATTGTAGACAAGCAAATGGAATCATCTAACTATTATGCTCAGCACAGTCTTAAATCACTGCAGTCATCTCATTAATGTTTTGAACTTTTTTTTCATTTTCTTCAAATGGATTTCACAGAGTAGAAGTATTTAGAAACATTTCCATAATAAATGGCTGAAAGGCACTGCCCCAGATATGACATAAAGAGATGTCTTTGCTCTAAGTCCTGTGTAGGAAAGCATTCTAGAGGGATATTTATGTTTATTGTATGTATGTTTATATAGAGAGTTTTATCTCTGGTAGTAGGTCAAAGGTGAGTTACCTTATTGTACCTTTTATTATTTTGAATAAGCTCTTATTACTTTAAATTTAAGAAAAACCCTGTGGCTATAAAGCAAATAGTTTGCAGCAGTGTCTTTGAGAAAGGTTGACCAGGTGTCAGAGGGTACAGCAGGCACCCTTGCAGCATGTGGCTTGTCCTCTCCTCTCCTCCCCCTGAGTTGCCATGTTCTGTCTAGATTTTGACTATGTTATGGGAGCCCAGATAGCTCACAAAATTTTGAGTTTAGCAAAATCTTTAGGTCACTTAGTCTAGTCCCTAGAAAGCCTGAAATTGCTTTCCACACTCAGGTATGCTGCATGGCACAGGTTGGACACCGAAGAAATAGTACATTCTTGCTGGAAGTTCAAGAAATTATATGCCATCTTGGTTTGGAGATGCACTGTCTCTTAGCATTAGGTTCCATAAATGTGCCAGTGATGGGAGAGAGGGGAAGAGCTGATGAGGTCCTACAAGCCAGTATCAAATCATTCTCCCCAGACTTGTCTCCTTCATAGTGAGAGTGTCAGACTGGAGCCCCTCCTACCTTAGCCTCCTAACTGCAGGCGCTGACAGCCTTGCTCCCTGCCCACCTCATTCCTACTTTGAGATTTTCTTACCATGAAATTTCCTTCTCCCCTGTCCCAGGGATCTTTCTTTCATAAAGGTAATAAATGTAGGCCAGAGATTTCTGGTCAACAGAGTTCAGGACTACATCCAGAGTAAGATTGTCTACTACCTGATGAATATCCATGTCCATCCTCGTACCATCTACCTTTGCCGGCATGGAGAGAGCGAGTTCAACCTTTTGGGAAAGATTGGAGGTGACTCTGGCCTTTCATTGCGAGGAAAGCAGGTGAGTAGTTAGCCAGCAGACTGGATTTCCTAAGCTTAGAGTTAGAAGGGCATGCTGGAGGTCATCTGTTTTATCCCTCCTGCTTAAATCCCATTTGGGCTTAGGCAGGGGTTTCACATAGCCAGGCAAGTGCTAAAGATGTTCTCTGCTTACTGTTCCTAGCTCTGGATTAATGTTTGGGTCATTGGAGACCTTTTCTGGTGTGATCATTCAGCTATCAGAAAAATTTTGGGCACTGTTTGTGATGAGAGTGCATAGGGCTCTAATTGAATTTTACTTCCTCTTCGGTTTATAGTTTGGCCATGCCTAGTAGTCTCTTTGTGTATTGCATGTGTGGTGTGGTATGTTTTCTTTGTTTAGCTTTTATTTCCAAACCCCAGTTTGCTCAGGCTCTGAAGAAGTTTCTGGAGGAACAGGAGATCCAGGACCTCAAAGTGTGGACGAGTCAGTTGAAGAGGACAATTCAGACCGCTGAGTCTCTGGGCGTGACCTATGAGCAGTGGAAGATCCTCAATGAGATTGATGCTGTGAGTAGGTATTGCTGATCAAGAAGTTATAATTTAGGTAACCTAGAAAACCAGAATCATCAACTAGAAACCAAGGAATCTGAATCCTGCCATTTCAGAGGTTAGTGAGAAGGAATAACTATCCTTCATCAGGGTTTCCTGGATGCTCTAGTACCTGAACCCAATGTGAGACCCAAGCCAGTCTTTATCTGAGCCATTCTGGCATTTTCAGAGAGTAGAGCTAACAAGGACTCATTTTGTTTCCCTCTTTGGAAAAAGAAATGCCCAATCACTAAGTTCTATAATACTTACTTTAATCAATTTGTCAACAGTTCTGAGAAAATCCTCCACATTTCTCTTGGCAGTTCTTATCACTTACTCCAGATGTACATTTCTTTTTGTTTTATTGATACCAGGGCTCACTCTCAGCCCAGGTTGGCTTGGAATTCTTGATCTTCCTGCCTCAGCGTCTCTCGGATGTTGAGATGTCAGGCGTGAGTCAACATGCTCACCTTAGATGTTTTTCTTTCCGTCCTTCTCAATCCCACAGGATTTTTCTTCCCCTCAGTTTCCTCTCCTCCTCTGGTTCCTGCTCCTATTGTCCTGCAGACTCTTCCTACCTGTGACTTTCCTTGTAGTAGTAGAATAGAGTGCTAGCTCAAGCTAGAGAAGCCACCTCTCTCCACAGTGCCTCCTGTCCTATCCAAGGCACCTTGTAACACTTTCATATCCTGGCATAGACAGGTGCAGTACAAGGAAGGACTCAGCACATGGCCTCAACACATAGGAAAGCACTGGTATTCAAATGTCATCTTCCTCATCTGAGATAGAGAGTGCCTACATCCCAACTCTGGTATGGCTCTTTTCAGGGCGTGTGTGAGGAGATGACATATTCAGAGATTGAGCAACAGTATCCAGAGGAATTTGCACTTCGAGATCAAGAGAAGTATCTGTATCGATATCCTGGTGGGGAGGTGAGTCTTTACTCTGAGTAGATGCCTAGTGCTTTGCTGGGCACTGACCTTAAAGGGAGGAGAGGGGGTGACTTAGGAATCATTTGTTATCCTGCCTTTGGTCATACTGTTGAATTCATCTTAGACAACCAGTGCTTTACACTTTATGAATTGGTTAAACTCTCAAGGGAACAGAGTGAGAAGATATCTTCTGAGTTGAGAATGTTGTAGAATGAACATGATCTTTTTATATTTTCCATTCTGTTCCTTCTACTTCAAAGCAGATAGAGTCACCAAGTGAGTATGAATTACTTCCTTACCATGTTCGAGGCACTAGCCTTATTGATGTGGCTTCCTACCGTAGGGAAGTGTGCATGGCAAAGGTAAATAATGAAATGGCAGAGGTTCAGGAAACCTGCAGAACTCTTTTGTTGCCCTACACACTGCCCCTTTTAGTGCTTATGATGAAAAGAGAAACAAATTGAATTCACACTTAACATTTTTGAACTGTGGTGTTTGTTCTAAATCTTGCTTCTGAAAGATCTGAGTATTCTTTAGAAGCCAGGGCTGGGGCAGTTAGGCAACATAGAGGCACTCCATGAGTAGTCTCCTGACTCTGGAACTTAGCCGATGACTTGGCTGCCCATGCTCCTGGCCTCTTACCAGCTCTTCCTCCTTCCCTTCCCAGTCCTACCAGGACCTGGTACAGCGGCTGGAGCCTGTCATCATGGAGCTAGAACGGCAAGGCAACATCCTCGTTATCTCCCACCAGGCTGTCATGCGCTGCCTCCTGGCCTACTTCTTGGATAAAGGCGCAGGTGCCATTTGAGGGAAGGAGTGGGGGAGGGGGTAAGCACATCCAAAGGGATCCTGGTGGTAGCAGGATTCTTGACTACTGGCTCTCCCTTTCTTCCACTCATAGAGTACATTCTTCAGGCAGCAGTGAGGAGCTCCTAGCAGCCATTGGTTAGTCACTACTCCCTTCAGTCTGCTGCCACAAAAGCTGGCAATGGAGGATGGCTGATTTGATGCTGCCTGATCTGCCAAAAGGGCCAGCCTCAAGCTGACATGACTGGCAGCATCAAGGCTGGTGGTTGAACAGTCAGTTTGTCTCATTAGCTATTGCAGATGGTTTATTAGAACAGTCTTTATCCTTTGGGTTGGGAGTAGAGCAGTTGTTTTAGGAAAGCTGTAAGAAGTGCTACTCTGGCTCTTTCTTTCCCTAGTCCTCAGGCCACTTGAAGCCTTTGACTGGCTTCGAGTGCTCAGTAGGCCATAGTCTTCTTTCTACTTCCTTTTTGATGTATTTCAGATCTAGATTGCCCTTCCTTCCTTCCTGACCACTCAGTAGTGTGGGTGACTCTTTTGGACTTGACAGTTTCTTGAATTTAGGGGGGAAGTGGTGAAACTCTAGGTGATGGTCAGGGTGAAGAAAACTCATGAGCCCCTTATATTTTCTCTTCCTTACATGACCTTATTCTGTAATACTAAGACTTCCTCCCTGGGTCTTCCTTCTTTCAGATGAGTTACCATACTTGAGGTGCCCCCTCCACATCATCTTCAAACTTACTCCTGTGGCCTATGGTAACTATGAGCATGAGCTGGTGAGGTGGGGACTTCGGACTGTCGGGTACAGAAGGTGTCACTTGTGTCTAAGGGATGTCCATTTCATTGCTTCTGTTTGGAAATGGCATGTGCATGTGTCTAGGAGTACACACGCCCCAGCATATGCTTTGCTCTGCTTAAAGTTTTCTTTTGAGCTTCCTCTTGATGGCTTTTCTCTTTTCCTCCTCCTCCTCTCCTTCTAATCTACCCCCTGTTTTGTTGATTGTTTATGTCTTGTGCTTGGCTTTATTTTGTTTTGCTTTTGAGATGGGGGTTTCACACTAGTTGGGTCTAGCTTGGAACTCCAGCTAGTGTGGGACTCTGACAGTTCACCTGCATCAGCCTCAAAGTACTGGGATTTCAGGGAGTGAGCCATCATGTTTGCCTCTGACAGCTTTTCTTCCTGTATTGTCAGGTTGCAAAGTGGAAACAATTACACTGAATGTGGATGCTGTAGACACACATCGTGATAAGCCAACTGTAAGTATTTTCTGCTCACCCTGAGTCTTGGAATCTTTGGGATCAAGAGACTTAGGTTTCTTTTGTGTACAAAAACCAAATCCAGAATTCATGTTCTGTATGTCTCTTTACTTCCAAGAGGCAAAAATGAGGCAATGTTTAGTTTTGTAATGGAGTACTTCTTTAGGAATCTTAGCCTTGAAAGTTAGCAACTGGGAATTGAGTTCAGTATAGAAAGTGTTTGCAGAAGTGAAATGTACAAATTCCATGCTGCACCCCTAGGGACGCTTCCATTTACAAAGCAGGATCCAGGGGGGCATTGCCAGTGTAGTCACCAGATGCAGATCACCTCCATGGTCTCTTCTTGGCAACCTATGTGGTTAAGTGAACCCCTTTGTTGGTTCCCTTACTGCTCTTCAACGTGATGGCCAGGATCTTCCCCTGTGATGAACCTTTTATTTCTCTGGGACTAGGGGCCCAGAATATGACCTGCTAAGTCCTGTGTGCAGGGCAGCAGAAGGCAGAGCAGTTGTGCTCAGGAGCGTTGTTTGAGCTCTGTGGGTAAGGTTTGGGTATGGCTTTCATGTATATGGTGTCCCTCCATTTCCAATCAGCACAACTTCCCCAAGAGCCAAACCCCTGTAAGGATGAGAAGGAACAGCTTTACGCCTCTGTCCAGTTCGAACACAATAAGGCGTCCAAGAAATTACAGTGTTGGGAGCCGACCCCTCAAGCCCCTCAGCCCTCTCCGTGCCCTGGACTTGCAAGAAGGGGCGGACCAGCCGAAGACCCAAGTCAGCATTCCGGTGGTGTAACTGTGTGTTTCCCTCCAGCTTTGGCCTCTTGCCCTTGCCACTAATCAACCAAGAAGTCATTTAACTTTAACCTCCTCGTGTCCCAGCGTTGATCTGAACATGGAATCTGAGCTCATGCGTGTGCAGAGCAGCCTCAGCCATTCTCTAGTGTAAACACCTCACCCGGGGGCAAGATGGCAAGTTGGGTTTTTAGGACAGGTCCCCAGATGGGATGATCTGAAAGAAGAGGAGCCAAGCATGAGTCATAGACTTGGTTCTTCTGTTTCCTATTGTCTAAGCCCAGTGTCTGTGAAGTGTGTGTGTGTGTGTATGTGTGGAAGGGGGGTTGTCGGGAGGGAGTGCTGAATAGCGTGAGATGTAACAACCTGTTTGTCATTCACATGTGTCCTTTACATCTGTCCTTACATCCTTAACTTCCCTGTCCTATAGCTTCTCTTTAGGTTGTCTGGTGTGATGCATGGTATTGTGACGTCTTAAAGTCAGGGATTGTTGATAGGTATCTAAGTCCCATTGGTGCTGTCTGCACTCGGGTCTGGATCTGCACTGGGAGAGTCTTCTCCCTTCCCTTCTCCCTTCCTCTCCAGCCAGGTCCAGCAAGGGTCAGCCCAGGCTACAGAACATCCACAGAAAGCCCTGGAGTTTGCAAATGGACATAGGGTGAGAGCTCTTGCCTCTTTTCATGAGACACAATCCTGAGTTTTTGCTGCCCTGGGGAGCTAGCTCTAAGGATGTGGATATGCCTTGCTTTGTGTACCTAGCTTGAAGAGCCGGACAGTTCTCTGCTGGCTGTGAAATGGGGCTGAGGCGAAGTCTAGGCCTTGTCGATTGACAGTTGAGAATGTTTGTCCTGTGGCTCTCCTTTTCCTTGCCATTGCAGTAACTTCCCTGCAGCCCATGACCTCTGGGGCTGTGTAAAAGCACCATTGAGCCCGGAATTTCTCCAGGCAACAGTGAGGGTCTTCAGTGAGTTCAGTAAAGCTGCTCATTGTTTACCAGTACTTTTTGGAATAATTTCCTAAAGCTAAGTTTTTTCATGAAAAGTTATTCTTTGGTCATGAAAAAAGTTTTGATGAACTTATAACCTGTCTTATTGGGGGCATTTTGTTTATATAAGAAAATATTACAATATTCCAAGAAGTCTTCTGGGTTTTGGCTCTTGAAAGTTTATTTGTATCTATTTTTTGCTTAAAAAGAGGATTCTCCATATTGGCCCAGGGCCTTGTGTTTGCTAAGAGAGCACCCTGCTGTTGAGCGCAGTACCATTCCACTCTGGTACATGTTTCTAAGGGACAAATCTAAAGGTCTCATGAGTTTTTTCAGAAGAGACAGGTGACTCCTTACCTCTCAGTTTGTCATGTGGGGCCAAGTGGTGAGAGAAAGTTATCAAGTTTCTTCATTTTGTCTTGTGATAGAAAGCTTTTTTCATAGTTCTTATCCAGAAACATTTCTTAGACTATGCTATAGGATTTTTGAAATATATATATATACCTTGGTTCCCTTGAGACAGACTGAGTACTGTCTCCAAACTCTCTGGGATTGGAATCTTAATATTTGAGTGTTTAAATGACTTCCTGAAGAGTTAGTCCCAGGTTAAGAAGGCCACTTGAGGAGCTGAAGAGATGGCTCAGTTATAACAGCACATGCTGCTCTTCCAGAGGTTCAGAGCTTGGTCCCTAGCACTCCTATTGAGTGGCTTACAGTAGCCTATAGCTCCAGCTCTGGGGCATCTGATGTCTTCTTCTGGGCTCCCCAGGTACTTTCACATATGTAGCTCATGTACACATAGACACACAAATAAACATAAATAATACTAAAACTAAAACTTTTTTTTCAGTCCCACTTTATGAAGCTGAATAGAAAAATACCAGTCTATTGATATGTTAGACAAAGTGTCAGACTGGAAATTATGAATTTATGGTTCTGAAAAGACAGTTCTTTGGAATTAGATGCTGAGGCATTGCAGTTTTGACTGAAGTAATCCCTTCAAAGGCAGGCTGCCTTGTTAGAAAGATATTCTAGATTCTAGTCCCATCTTATATCTTTGGCACTACAAGGAGGATATGCAACAAATTACTGACTTAAACACATGTTCTTGGATCCATGCTGAAAATGTACTAAGGTGAAGCGCACTGAGCTGGAACGCATGGCCTGATGGAGGGCCTCATCACAGGCTGCTGATAGCTGGCCTTGAGCCCTTTACCTCCTGCTCCATATAGATGCTACCTACCTTCCTGAAACTCATCCAAGACAGAGTAACTGAGAAATCCAGTCAGGCAGTGTGCACTGTCCCCTGTTTGCCTTTGATGGTGGGCTCTAGGTATGGTGTGGAAAACACATGCAAAATGACAAAACAAAAATGTTCAGTTTCCTGGACCCGATGATTACAAACAAACAAAAGAACACAAGAACAACAACGACAACAACAGCAGCAAATGACTTTTGACTGGTCAGACTTGTGTTCAAGGTTGAGATTAGATAACGTATCTAAGGGCTTGCTCCTGGAGAAGACTGAATCTTCCTCTCTCAGCAGCCGTTGAGTGCTTGTGGCTCTTCTTCTAGGGTGGATTTTTATATACACACACATATGTATACATATGTATAAACCTAAATATACACATGTGTGTATATACACCTGTGCACGCCACAATAACTAGAGGAAGGGATTATGATCTTGAGGGAGTGGGAGAAACCTTGGAAGAGTTGGAAAAGGGGCAGGAGGCCTAGAATACAGTACTTGTGTGTGAAATACTAAAAATAAAAAAGACAGGAGATGTAATTGATAAGTGAACATTGCAAAACAATCAAACATTCTAGAAGAGCTGACATTAGGGTAGAGTATAGCTTGTCCTCTGACTGTTTCCTTGTTCTGTGGCTGTCCCAGGGGGTTGGCATGTCCTCTCCTCACAGTGAGAGGATGAGATATGATGTGTTTGGTGTGTCTGGCACTTTTACACAGTTGCCTTGTCTACTGCTTAGTTATTGCAACTCTGGTCCAAATTGGCATTCAGTCTTTCTTCTGCTGCAAGGTAAGAGTAGTTCAGAGCTACTGAGCGGAAAGAGGAAGAACATTGTTCTAACAGCTACTAAGGATAGTCTAGCTTGTAAAAGGAGACTTTTCTGACCACTTGGAATTGAGCTAGCCTGTTGTAAGTGCCATCTTTAGGAGTGGACTCTCAGTCTGCTGCTTGCTCTTCTCATTTCCACTGTGTTAGTTTACTTCTATAAGAAGGGTTGGGGAAGTCTGGTTATCCCTGCATAGCAAGGAGCAGAAGTTGGAGCTGAAAAGCAGCAGCTTCCTTCAACATCCTTCGGCTTTTAGAGCAAGGCCTTTCAGAGTAGCTGAGCAGGAACAGCAGGGAGACACAGAGTGGAAAGTACTCTTATTCCAAAGTTTAGGAAAGTTCCACTTTCATCCTTTTTTATTTTTGCCCTTGTTTCTTACTAGTGAGAGGTTTACCAGGCTGTGCTTGTGTCTATGTATCACAAACCCCACAAAGAGAATATGACTTTTAGAGTACCCAGAGTTGAAGTTTTCAGTTTTCTCATGGGGAAAATAGGTGAAGACCTACCTGTATAAAACAGAGAAAAGAAAATAATTGTTTTTTTATTTATTTATTTTGTTTTATTTTTAAACTCAAAACAGAATGGGAGATAAAATCCTGAAAAATGGTGGAGGGGTCCTGGAGATATAGTTCAGTGGTAGAGTACTTGCCTAGCCTATAGGAGGCCCTGGGTTCCATCCCCAGTGCTGGGGTAAACAAGCACAAAACACAAAACAACACTGAATGAGAAAAGGAAATGGACTTGAAAGAGCAGCTGAAAGGAGATTTAGAGAACCAGTACTGTTCTGCCTTGTTTCCAAACTAGAATTTAGCATTTACTGATCATTGGGGTAGGGCTTTTTCTCTTGGTAAATGAGTCATTTTACCATTCTTAGACATGCATTATGCTGTGTGCTTGCCATTATTTCTGGTTCCTAAGAAGGCAGAGTTAGGGATACAGCATGCTTCTGGTCCTAGACCAAATGGTTGAACATTACAGACAAGGATCTATGTAATCCTTGTAGAAGTTGGTAGTTGATCTCCACACATCTCATTTAAGAAAACAAAGTGTAATTGTTAGGGAATAAATCTGCCTGATGATTCTTGTAGGGACAGGTGTGATCTAAGTTCCTGAGGAGCTCATTAGAGCTTGGTGTGGCCGGTGGACAGGAGAAACATGCCAGGTAGTTGAGGTAGCTCTGAGTGATGAGGTTCCATGCACCTTCCACTGCCTTGCCATCTCAGAAGAATGTTGTGTTTGCTGTCAAAAGTTTCAGTAAGTCACCCAGCTTTCCTTGATTGACTTGTTTGTGTAAAGGCATTTTTTATTTTAAAAGTACCTAGCAGTTAAGCAGGACTGCTCTGCAAGATCTTGGCTCTTCCCTAGAGGTGACACACATCAGAAGTGTGCCTAAGAATTTAGTTTTGTAGTGTCCAGAAGACTAATGGTCTTTTTGGCAATAGTCCATCCTTTCTCACTGTGCTGACGGGTGGGATATGCACATTATTGTATTTCCTTGCCCACTATTCCTACAAGAAGCTTGAGATTTTTTGTTTCCTTTATGGAAAAGTTCTGTACAACATGGCTTTTCACAGGCAATATTGTAAAATAGTGACCCAACTTCTCATTATTTTTCAAAAGATGATGTTTTAGATTTCTTGTGTGACATTTTGTGATCCTAGCTAAGGTGATACCAGAAGAGTTGTGACTTTGCTTGAAGTCATTTCAACTAGTCTCCTGCTTCAGGGTAGAACTTTTCTTTTACTATCCATTCCTGAACCTTCTTTATCCTCACCCTTTCCAGTTGTGGGCTGTAGTATGCTCACTGAGAGGGCTGCTGTTTTTAATCTGCTGTGTGTTTAGCCTTTACTCTTAATCTTATACAAAGGGAAATATGATCCGAAGAGTGGGTCAGAGTATTCCTTCCCATGAGCCTTTCACTGGGTGTGTAACTAATATGCATATGACTCGGTTTTAAAACACTCTGAATTGTGAATAGTTTTTTGTTGTTGAAGCAACAAAGTCAACTTACTCATATGTGGTTTTCCTGTGGCAAATGCAAAGGGCTTCCTTCTCACAAGTGGCGTGTGATGTAGAAGATGCTGAGCATTCCTTGTTTGGATGGAAATGGGCAGAATTGGGAGGCCCAGGAGCAGCTTTATTGCAGATTTCTTAGGCACAGCTCTGCTGAAAGTGAAGATGTTAATCCTTAGTAGCATTCTGATTTATTCTCGTGATATTGATAATGAAATATTGCATCAGGTCCATTTAAAGTGCGTATAATTGTATTTGAACTGTGTTTTATGTGCATGTCTGTATAGTACGGGTTAATAAAATTGTTGAGTAACTTGAACTTATTAGAAGGCTTCTGGTTTTATTTTTTTTGGTTTGTATTTTAAGTTGTACTTCCCATGTACTGTCTTCTAAAACTACCTCCTCATAGGTGACAAGCTGAGACTTAGCAAAGCAACCTAAGTTCTTAGACTGCTTGGTGTCCAGGGTAATAGGCATGGCTCTCTTACACCACCTTCTGGGGGAAGATGGGAAGGACATTATTGGTAGTAAGTACATCAGCTTTAGTAGTCATGCGGGTACCTTCTGGTACCTGTGCAAGAACTAAGAATTATAATAGACCATACAGCACTTAACTTTTGTTATCTGTTATGAAGAAAAATATGGAAGATCTTTCAGAATTCACTGCACAAATGTTTCTGCCCATTTTTAAGCAGACTTCGGCCGATGGTGTGAGACAGTACTTAACTCCTCCTGGAGCAGACAGATGGCTGGCCACTGTTCTTTCTCATTCCACAGTACTCTAGCAAGAACTCAGAGCTCATTAGTAATATAGAGTTAGAGGCGTCCTCCAAAAACTGCTAAACCAGGATTTTAACAGGATTACTAGGTGGTTGGATCCATAAGTACATTTAATACTTTAGAAACAAGCTTTCTGAGGGAAAGAATTTTTTACAAGGTAAACATTAAACACCAGTTCAAAGTTGACCAACCAGAAGTTGATCTCCTTTGACTGCTGATGTCAGGGTGGATTAAGGTAACCATATCATTGGAACCCTTCTTAGAAACAATATGGCCTGTAACTTCATTGTTACTGTGTGTGTGTGTGTGTGTGTGTGTGTGTGTGTGTGTGTGTGTGGTCTCTAGGCTGTTGCAGCCTGCATTACCACAGAGATCTTTATATCGTAGACATGTACTTACGGTCCAGTTCTGAAAAAGACACATGCCCCATTATTGTCATAATGTCACCTTCTCAGGGAAAGAAGCTGTTAAAGTTTACCTGAGTCCCCAGTCAAAGTGTGTGCAGGCACATTGTTTGGATATGGGGATGCGGTAACAGTGGCAGGGTTGGGGGTGGACTCTTCACTTTTCTTTGTTCATCATTTGGCTGTGGTATAACAGCTTTGCTTCTCTTTCTGACTCCTAGGAAGTGGAGAATATGCTGGCTGAGCATAGATGCCCCTCAATGGCATCCCTCTCTTTGCTCTCCTGATGTGAGGCTGAGGCCAGACCTCTCCGAGGAACTGGATCTACTAAAAAGCGTGGGATGCCAGCATCACTGAGGCTAGAACAGGAAGTTAAGTGGGAACTTCTCATTTGAGGCTACCAAAAATGAGGCCTGGAAAACCTTCACTACATTTCTTCCCTTCATGCCTAACAGGAATAGTACTACATTGTGCCTCAAAAAGTCTTCAACAGCCTGAACCAGTTAGTTCTTGTCTCTTTTTGAAGCAAGTTTGCAAATGCCATTTTACTTAGGCATTCAGTGTTCTACCTATGGCTGACTGACTGCATCCTTTGCTTGAGATTTGCCTAATGTGTGAACGCACTGCTTCAGACATGGCTTCTAGGTGAGGATGAACTTCAGGAAGCCTTTTCTGCTCATGAGAGCTGCTCTTTTCATCTGATGGAGAAGAGCAGTCTGAAGTGCAATATGAATGCTAGTGGTCACCTCTTGCAGTGTGGGAGATGAGACAGACTACCGGGTAAATGGAGGGTATCAGGAACTAAGCTTTCAAGTGCTCTTCTCTGGTGGCAGAAGAGTAGTATCCATGTCTCCCTTTTCATCTAGAGAAGTTTTTCTTGTTCCATGCCCTTTGGTGCAGTGTCTGGCTGCTAGACTTCCCTAAAGGGGACCAGCCTTTACATTCTCTCATAGCTACTGTTTTCTCTCTGAGGCTTGTACCTCACACAGCTGGACAGGGCTGATTCAGTGCCTCCTGAGGGGTTGGGAATGAAGGCTAGGTGGAACCATCTCCAACCCATAAGGAAATAAAGATGGCTTCTTGGGCGAAAATTTCACTGTTTTTTTTTTTAATTTTTTTTTTTTAATTTCAAAAAATCGGCAGAAGCAGACATGCCCCTGTGTCCTCTGTTGGATGCCTCTGTTCTAGCTGGCACTACTGTGATCTGCCACACACACACACACACACACACACACACGACACGTGGCAGATGCAGCATAGCCTTGGGCCATCAGTGAGTGGATGTCTCTTTCAGAAGAATCAGATTGCTGTTTGCAGATCACTGAGTGTCCAATGAATACACACTGTCACTATGAATGCACTATGAATGCACAGTGTGTTACTTCTAAAGAAGAATGCAGAAGCCACAAAGTGTATTGTACCTCACCAGGAGAATCCAGTGTTAGTGTTTTTTTCCCATTTTATTTTTGTTTCCTTGTCACTGGAACTGCACACTTGCTGCGCAGAAAGATAAGTAGCAAAAAAAAAGTAAAAAAATGTGCTTTATCTAAATGGTTCTTTTATACTGTAGACAATCCTAGAGACTGTTACCTAAGAAAGATGTGATGAACTGCTGGCAGTTCAGTGACTTTGTATGTATGCACATCACCTGGAGAGAGGCTCCTTCCTCTGCCTAGGACAGGCGGTCTTCCCTTAGCTGATTGCAGCATACTGTACTACAGGGCATTTTTCTTGTGGTATAGGATGCTTTCTGCATTGAAGTACACTCCTTTTTGATGATCAGATGGTATTTTTATGAAGCTATTTATTTTGTGTGAGTTGGCATGTATTTAATCAGAATGTAATTTCTGTTCTCAGTGTTTTGCTAGCAATGTAGGTGGTTTGAACCATACATAGTATTACCTTAAGGTAAATTTGTAGAGCATAAATGTCTGTATACGTCAATGAATGGTAACTATGTTATGATTGTAGATTTTTAAATTTTTTCTTATTGATTTTATTATAAACCAAGAAATGTATTTCTCTGGAGAAAAGTTTTCTCTTAGATAAGTAAAACCATGCTGAACTATCTCAGTAACATATACTGCTTTTGTAATAAGAAAATAAAGTTATTTTTTATTAAAAGGTACAATGAAATTTTCAATTCACATACAAAAACACATCATTTGATACATTACATATGCACAAAATATTAACATTTTAAAAATGTACTTGAAAGTTTTTAAGAAAAGAGTTTGAGGCCGGGCGGTGGTGGCGCACGCCTTTAATCCCAGCACTTGGGAGGCAGAGGCAGGCGGATTTCTGAGTTCGAGAGTTCGAGGCTAGCCTGGTCTACAGAGTGAGTTCCAGGACAGCCAGGGCTACACAGAGAAACCCTGTCTCGAAAAACCAAAAAAAAAAAAAAAAAAGAAGGAAAAAAGAAAAAGAAAAGAGTTTGAAGTTATTAAATGGTATCCGTTTCCAGCTATTGTAGTGTTTCAGTTAGTAACTATCAAGTTCCTCTAGCATTTCAGTCAGTAGGATTGTTATAGCCATTTATTATTACTAGTCTAGACATTTATTTATTGAGTTAGAAATATTTAATGACTTCCTGTTGATTGCCAGGTAATGACTCAAACCAGTTCTGGGAAGCCACAGACAAGTCAGGTTAAACACACTTTCTTAAGTTGGGGTGGGAGGTATTAATGCCTTGGAGGCCATTGAGGATAGGCCCTTCCTGGTTGATGAGTCCTCCTCTGGTTTTCTTGATGACACTAGAAGCGCAAGCCCAGTATGGTTTCAATTACTGTATGAAAAGATGGAGGTACCTGGGCATTGTTGAGGTCTATTAAGGTAAAGCTACTTCCTCCTGACAAAAGGAACTGGATCTAAGTTTTACCTCTGTCCTTGGGTAGAGACCTGACATATTTTTTTTTTGTCTTTCATCAATCTTTATTTTTATTTTTATTTTTTATTTTTTTGGTTTTTCCAGCCAGGGTTTCTCTGTGTAGCCCTGGCTGTCCTGGAACTCACTCTGTAGACCAGGCTGGCCTCGAACTCAGAAATCTGCCTGCCTCTGTCTCCCAAATGCTGGGATTAAAGGTGCGCACCACCACCACCCAGCCCTGGTTATTGTTTTTATTTGGACTTTTAATCTGAAATGAACTACAATCCTGAAAATGGAGGGCACATCTGTGATCCAGAGCTTGAGTGTGGAAGACATAGTGACCATGAAAAGCTTAGGCTCAGGCATGTTGGTACATGGTTTTAATCCCAGGAGACAGAGGCAAGGGGGATCTGTGAGCCTCTTCAAGCCTGGTAGAGAGCAAATTCTAAGTAAAAACAAAAAAGCCCCCAGGTATGATGGTATATACCTTCAATCCCAGCATTCAGAAGACAGAGCCATGCAGATCTCTAAGTTCAATCTACAGAGAAAGTTCCAGGACAGTTGAGCTTAGGGAGTTGGAAGGAGTTGGAAAACAACAGATGATAATATACTAGAACAAGGTTGGGGGGGGCGGGTTATGTTCCAGCCTCAGCAAGCAGCAGAACTTGGCAGCTTTGGCCACTTGGCTCTAGCTTTAGAGTCAAGAATAGAAGAGACTATTGGGACAATTGATGTTGGTTAGCTGGAGGTAAGAAATTAGGGGTGGTTGAGAAATGACCAGCATCTCTGAGGTGAAATCTTCTGAGAAGTGTTTTCTGAGAATACAAAGAAGCTGTATTCCAGAGATAGCCAAGGTCATACCTTGTGCTTTATCTGTACTTGGTAATGTGTAAGAATCACCCAGGTGGTGTTGGTTTTGAAGGTATGAAGGGGGTCATGAAGAGCTGCTGAGGCTTGGTACTGTGAGAGGCCAGGGAAGACCATTGGTGAAGGTGCAGCCTCAGTAGCAGTTGATGGCTCAGGACTGAAGGGGTCATGCAAAGTAGTTGAACCTAAGAGAGGCTATTGGTGAAGGCTAGTTGCAATGAAAAACCCCAGTGTGTTAGAGATGCTGGTTTCATGGGATGACCATCAAGAATAGTAGCAGCAATAGAGTAGAGTCTACAAGAGCCTAGAGTTCTACAGAGGGCAGGACTAGAGAAGTGACTCAGCCCTTAGATGAGCCCAGATCATATATGGATCCCAGACATTGGAACAAGAAGCTTTAATATTGAAATTACCTTGGAGACCTCAACATGTGTGAGATACCAGAACTGTGGGACACCTGCAGAGGAAAGCTACCGACAGGGAGTTGAACAAGCCTAAGAGAATGAAGTTTGTTGCTGCTGAATGCCAGATATGCCAACAGCAGTCAGCAATGATGAAAAGAGTTGAATACCTGAAGAGTGCTTTGATATCAGACATGAAGACCAAGTTTGGAATTTGTCCAGCTGGTTTTTGGTCTTGCTTTGGTCCAGTATTTCTTCACTGTGACTTTTTGGAATAGTAATGTATATCTTATGATGTTGTAGATATGTAATCTGCATCTTGATTTTGATTTTATAGGGTATTGCAGTTAAGTGTTCAGATGAATTTCATTGGAGAGTGAAATTTGGACTTTTAACATTAAGACTGTTATAGACTATGGGGACTCTTGAAGGTAGGCTAAATGTATTTTGTGTTATGCTATGGCTAGGTATGTTGCTCATAGACTTGTGTTTGAACAAGCTATTGGGGCCAGGGAATGGAATGTGGTGGTTTGAATATGCTTGGCATAGGGAGGGGCACAATTAGTAGGTGTGGCTTTGTTGGAGGAAGGGTGTCACTGTGGCTTTGAGACCCTTCTTCTAGCTACCTGGAAGACAGTCTTCTGGTTCTCTTTGGAACAAGGTATAGAACTCTCAGTTCTGTCTCTAGTGCCATGCCTGCCTGGATGCTGCTATGCTTTCTGCCTTGATAATGGACTGAACCTCTGAACCTGTAAGCTTGCCCCAATTAAATAATGTGTTTTTTTTTTTTTATAAGAGTTGCCTTGGTCATGGTGTCTCTTCATTGCAATGGAAACCCTAACTAAGACAGGCTGTAAGCTGTACCCTGCTGATGAGGTAATGTCCTGGCAGGAGCCCCTCCATTGGAGCAGACATAGTGCTTCCCTCAGGCCATACAGCAGAGGCCTTCTGCTTTTAGAAACACCTTTCCTTTCTTTCTTTCCAAGAGGCCAAAAGTAGAAGTATACTTCCCCAGGCTCTTGTATTTCTCATTCTTTCTCTGAAGTATCCCTCATCCCCATGCAGCTGCTTGTCAACCTCCATTGCATACTGCATGTCTGTATTTCTTCCTCTTCACCACCTCCTCTTGGCAGCAACCAAGATTTGCAGGCTTGCCTATCAGTTGTTTTTCTTTGGAACTAATAAAATTCTTCACAAGTTTCCTTATGATTCAGTTTTAAAATTCTTTTTATCAATTAGACTAAGAACCCCAAAAGAAACTCTCAGTTCCCCCACAATAATTGAAATTACAATTTCCAGTATTGACACAGTCCTGGGGTAGCTAATATATGGAGGCTGATCTGGTATGGATGACTGTACTGTGGCATTCAAAGCAAGGCTGCCTTGGCTCACAGAAGGCTGGGCTCTGCAGCAAGGTCACTGCTGCCTCCAAGGAAGATTGTTATCAGAGTTAATCATAAGGAGCTACAAAACGTGGATACCAGTTCAGGGTGGGTGGCTAGGCTGAGCCATTTCTGATTCAAGTTGAAGGCTATCATTCCTTCTAACAATAATACTTAACTTATTCCAGGACACTGGGAAATTGAAACAATAGCCTACTGCCCATGTAGAAACTACCAGTCCATAAAAGCAGTCCCTTGGTAGACATTGCTTCTCTACTGTCTTGCCCACTATGGCTGTCCTGAAGTGTGTCTGATAAACTCAACTGCTTCCTTGTGTCTTTGGTGCATTCATTCACAGCCTGCAGATCATCTGCCTGTTAATACTATCCCTGGCACAGAAGAGAATTTAGAAAAGTGGGGAGGAAGAGACACTCAGTTTGGTCTTTGCTAGGAAAGTACCATTGATCAGCACCTAGTCTGTCCCCAAAGCTGGAGAGAGACGTAGTGAACTGTAAACACTGGAAATATTGACAAAAGTCAAGGTCATGGCAGGACTATTGGGCTCATGCCTGTTGGGCAAGGATAAACCTGCAGTCTAAAGCAACTGGTCTACTGATTCGCATTTCTAGAAATTGGGAAATGTATTAAGATTTTAATTCTGGCAGTGCTTTAATCATTTTTTTTTTTTTTTGTGGTTGCGTAGCCACTGGATATACTTCCTTATTTCTGCTATTCTTTCTTATTACAAGGGAAACTTTCTTTTTCACATTTGTTTCAGGGGGAAATGTAACTCCTTCTTAGAAGGAAGTTGTTTTTATCTGAAGTGTTTAGAAGGATGCTTTTGACTGATATCAGGGTTTAATTCCGTCCTGGGTCAAGTAACTGCTCACCAAATGCTTTGTTGGATTGTGTGCTATCTGATATGGCTGATTTCTGCCTTAGATGGTAAGTGTGATTTCCATACAAGATATATCATGTCAATTTGTGGGTTAAGAGGCCTTCTGTATGGGGGTTTTAATGAAATTTACATTTATAATATTTATTGAAAATTCTCAAGTAAGGTATATGCTCTATACTCATTGTGAGCTTAGTGTACAGTGATGGGGATCTTGCTCCCGGAGATGGGTGGTCATTGCTGACTTGCTCTTCTTATTCTGGGATCCCAAAAAGTGACAGTTTCAGAATCTTGAGATGTCAACTATTAAAGACTCTAGGACTGATACTTGAGAAGGAATTGCTTGTTCCAGAGAAGATAACTTGTAGCTGAATTTAAATACAATGCCCATTATCTGTTTGGAAATGTAACCTTAGAAATTCCTGAGAATGAGAGATGGTGATGTACATACAATGGAGGCGATAGGCCAAGAGTCAGGATTAGTTCAGCAAAGACTCAGAGGGAGGAATCAGTGCTGTGTGAGGGAGGAATCAGTGCTGTGTCTTTGTGGCTGGTGATAATGCCAGATGATTCTGCTCTCCTTTTCCTTCCAACAGGGAGCTGTTCAGAACTTCCTCCAGTGGACAATAGTGTATTTGTTGGAAATGAAACAGACGAACAGATTCTGGGAATTTACCTTTGTATCAAAGGCTACCACTTGGTGGGAAAACAGTCTTTGGTCTTTGATCGCTCAAAAGAATGGAATGCTTCCCTCCCTGAGTGCCACTGTGAGTTGGATTTTTCTGTCCATAATGTCATCTCCTATATTCTTTTATATCTTGCTTCCCATAGGCCACATTAAAATTGCCCATCATGTTGGTCTGGAATTTAATATATAGCCCCTAGTAACCTGGAACTTGCAAAGCCCCCGCCAGTGCTAATATTTCAGGTGCATCAACAATACCTGGGCATGATGTTACCTTTAAACTATGAAAAATGGTATTCTCAATATGCATTAAGTGTCATTCAAGTGTCTTACTTCAGGTTTCAAAACTTATTGTGTCATCTTCTGTCATGACATAACACAATTCTTCCAGATCTTTTTTATTAGTAGAATTTTTAAAAAGCTGTGTTAATTTTTATGTATACATGGTATTTTAAAGTTTGTTTTATATAAAAATTTTGCATCTCTCTCTGTTGACTGCTGGGTTTCTACAAGAAAGAAACAGTTAAAATGTACAGCATTAAAGGAAAGAAATGAATAAGTATATATTTGGCTAGATGAAAGAAGGGAAGACTTGCTTGGAATATAGGCATACGGCTTTTGAACAATGTTCAGTGCAGCAGAATAATGAAAATGCTATTGATAATATCTAGTTATGTACTTTATTATGTGTAGTACAGTTGTAAATTATGCTGTGCTTGTGTATGACCATGTTGTATGACAGTATTCCTGGGCAGACATGAAAAATGTCTACCCATCCTAGATAAGAAACTAATGACATACTAAAGATAAGTATACTACCAAAATCCAGCTTGATAAATCTATGAGTTTATTTCGGTTATTTGCAGAAGTATGTGTGAGGGGTTACAAACAGGAGCACAAATAACTCAAGGACAGCTGCATCACCTAAAGCATTTATGAAGAGTCACAAAAGCTGGAAACCTGCAGCTTTCTGTACAACTTGCAGGCAAACTCAACAGGTTGAAAAATCTTTTCCAGGCCACTCAGCTGGTCCAAGCAGCTCCCAGCAGTTCTTACTGCTTATGTAACCTTAGGGAGAGAAGAACTTGCACATCTGGTCAGGTTCAGAAAGTTCCTGAGACTCCATAGATGTTTGCTTGCTAAATCTTTTCCCTTTAGAACTTCCAGAGTTTTTAATGAGCCTTCTTTAGAATGTCATAGGTCTTAAGGAACTTTGGAGGAAATTTCCCCAACAGACCAATACCCTTTTATCCACAATTCTAGTACATGGGGCTTCACTTGTCCTGCATTGGTATAGTTTGATAATATATATACCTATTCTTTTAGATCCATGTGCATCATTAAGTTCTGATTTTTCATTATCTTTATGAAGCCATACTTTCTAAAGTGGGAAGTAGAACTTTTACTTCTTCCAATCTTAGAGCACTGACTGTTCTCTTCTTCAGTGGGCCACTGTCCTGACCCTGTACTGGAACATGGCAAGATCAGTTCTTCTGGGCCTGTGAATGCAAGTGACAAAATCACGTTTGAATGCAATGACAGTTACGTCCTCAAGGGAAGCAATTGGAGCCAGTGTCTAGAGGACCACACCTGGGCCCCTCCCTTTCCCATCTGCCGAAGTAGTAAGTGCTGATCAGTATTGTCACTCTGGGGTAAAATTGTTTTTTGGAGCTATATTAACATACAAGCCAGAATTAAAACCTTCACCTCCTGTCTTGTTATGTCTGCTTCCCCTATGTTCCAATTTGTCCCCTCTTCTTTCTTCTTTTTCCTTCCTCTGCTCTCCCAACTTCTAATCCTCCAGTTTCCACATCCTGAGTGCTGGAATTAGGTGTGCCACCATTCCTGTTATCCAATGCTGGTGATTGAACCCAGGGCTTCATGCATGATAGGTAGGCTCTCTACCAGCTGAGCTACACCTTCAACCCTAGTTTGCCTTTCCCTGCACTCTGTCAGCTGGGAGCTCTACAGTGTATAGCTCTGTCCTGTGAGCTCTGCCAGTTCCTTGTAAGAGTCTTCTTCATGGACAGTTATGATTTTCATGAGAAGGAGAACATGCTCTGGGTCTCATTTAGACTGTAGTGAAGATGGCAGACTCTACTGTACATAGAGCATAGGGAACATTCCTCATGAATTGTACCTGGCTCTCACAAATCTCACTCCTGTGTGTCTCTCCCTTAGGAGACTGTGAACCTCCTGGGGCTCTTGTCCATGGCTATTTTGAAGGAGAAACTTTCACTTCTGGATCTGTTGTTACTTATTACTGTGAAGATGGGTAAGCACATGGCCTTTCAAACAGGGGGTAGTGCCCCACAGCTGTCTTACTTTGGAGAATGACTGTGTCTACCTAAGCTCCTCATTTCCTACTGCTGAAGGATTCTGGCTCATTCAGATTTTGAAATCTTCTTTAGCACACTACTAGCTCTCTCCAATATCTAGAAAGCAAGACACCTAGCAGAGTTCCATTCTTATCTTAGTTGTGGTAATTACTTCTTTATTGCTGTAATAAAACACCATGACCCAGGCAATGTGTAGAAAGAAGTGTTGATTTGGGCTATGGTTCCCGAAGACAAAAAGTCCATTCCTATCATGACAGGGGAGCATGACAGCAGGTGCATGGTGGCTGGAGCAGCAGGCAGAGAACTCTCTAAGCTCTTTAGTGACATACCTCCTTTATCAAATCCTTACTACCTAAACCTCCCCCAAACAGTGCCACCAACTAGGATGGAGTATTCAAGTGCTGGAGACCATGTGGGGACATCTCATTCAAATGACCACACTAGTGAAAGTATCCGTTTCTTCTCAGTTGTCCAAAATGTTTTTTTTTTCATAATTGTGTTTTCTAAACAATCTGTTACACAAACCCAAAGTCTCAAGAATGATGACTATGTCAGGATACCAAAGAAAGGACTCAGAGGGAGTTTAGATGACTTTCATTATTAAACAGTCCTTGGTGGTAGCAGGCCAGAAGACAAGATCTGCACCATGCCTACAAGCAGAGTGTTACCTATGCACTGAGGGAACAGAGGAAAACGGGATCCTATTGCTCACGGCTACAGAAGTGAACTCTCATGGATATGATTTGCTTGTCTATCAGGTCTCCTCTTCCTTCTACGTTTTATTGTGTGTAAAGGAGGGAAGTTACCAGTAGCTCCTCCCACGTCAGCACATATATCTAGAGTCTGCAGAATACCTGCAAGAATAGAGTTGCCGTGACTGCCTCACATAAAATGAAATGCTTCCCCTCCTTCACCCCTTCAGAGTTTGAAACTTTTATTATCTCCTTCATTCATATATCACTCTGTATCTTCCAATCATTTGTCAAGATAAGGCGGTAGGTACACATTATGTTTAGATGTGACTGTGCCAGTAGAACCCCCAATACAAGAGGAGCAAGGTTAAGAGGCTTGCTAGCAGGGAGTACAGAACACATGACCATTGGAACGACAAGTTTGGCTAACAATTTGGAAGACTCACTAGTTGGTAGCATTTATTATAGGTCCGGAGGATAGTATTCCATTGGCTATCCACTTGTAGAACAGCCAGCCCCTACCATTGAATTGGCCAGGTGAAATCACCATGAACTTTTCATCCACTGAGTGTGACTCAGGGAAACCCAACTATTATTAGCATGCTAAAAACCAGTGTTAGCCCAATGGAGGAACAGAGTCCCTGCTGTCTACGTAGGAGAAACAAGAATGTTTAATAGATACCAAAAGAGGAATGGCTGCACCACTGGATGAGATAAGTGCTATGGTGTGGCCTATGTCAGACAGAAGAGCTGCTAGGATAACATTTGGTCAGGCTGCAACTCAGGAGAGAGAGAGAAGAGATAGATATTACTGGGAGATGCACTTGCCTTTGGTTTGTATAATATGTCCCTTTGTGAGTAATTCTTGCTACAGGGCATGCTTTAATCTTAGACCATTTTCCTAGTATGATAAACATAGCAATGGTTGTGACCTTCTAGGATCACATAAGGTATTCTGTGGGTGGTGTTACTTCAGTTTGATCTGAGAGGAGCAAATTTCTGTCAGGTTCCCATGCTGGCTAAAGAGACCTGTCCATTTAATTTGTAGTCTAAATGCTAGGGGCTTCTATTGGGTAATGGTGGCTATTGCTGCTGGCTTGTTTTTCTGAAGCCTTTTATTGAACATTCTCAAGACATTAGGGAGATAAGTGGGAGTCTGTCTTTAAAGGCTGATTCAGTTACTTATTCATATGTTTACTGTGTCCTGCTCCTGATGAGTCCTGGTCCAATTGGGTTGAGAAGGGTAGCTGCAAGACACACAACAGGTCTTGGTTACTCATCAACCGTTTCGCTTTATGACCTACAAAATGGTCTTGGCAATTTTCAGTTATCATATAGAGACTCCAGTGATCACTGCATGGTAGTCTTTTGGATGACTCTTCCCCTGAGCCTGGTAGAAGGTTGATGTAGAGTATTTTCCCTCTTAGTGTGTATCATGGCTATCACTGAGATCATCCCATATATTTTTGGTAAGCATGTACAATGTCTGTCCTCTAAGTCTCCATCATGTTGCAACAGCCTTTACGTGGCTTTCTGGTGTGTTTGGCCCATTCATTTGTGTAGCCTGGCAGGGTCTTTTTCAGCCTGACCAACCTCATCGTTCCTAGGCCATTGTAAGTATGGTTGATCAGCAACATCCTATAACATTACTTGTGTTGTATATATTCCTCATATTTCTCCTTGGCTCTTGTCCCACAGTGAAGGTCTGTTAATGGACCACTATTGACTCTGCCAGTGAGGAAGCCTAAATGGACTTTGAACATTGCCCAACTCTGTGCTTATAATTAGGAGTTTCTTTTTTTTTTTTTTTAGTTCTACTCATACCATCTTTTTATTTTTTTTTTACAAGTGTTATAAGCATTTATTAAAGAAATCACTCAAATTTACACCAAAATAACTAAGGCAATACATCAAGAATCAAACATAATGTTTTCATTAAGATATGGCTTACAATAAAATGTCAAAAGCAATTGAAATGATTAAGTATAGTTTGGAACCACATACATAGGCATACAAGCACAAATACAAATATTAAATGATATTAATAATACATACAAAGGACACGTCATTCAAGCTAATACAATTGCCATTAGTATGAAGAATGAAAATATCTCTTAGCAGTAGTTTTCACCAGAATTTTAGATTATATGGCAACAGATGATGTTATTTTTAGATTTCTTCCATCTTCTAACATGTAAATAAATGATCAATTTGCATTAACATATACTAATCTAATAAATACAATAACAGAGGAGTATCAGTTATTCCGCTTCAGACTATTTAGATTCAGAAGTGTTCTGATGAAATAGACTTTGTCAGTTCAAAAAGGCAACTATATCATCTATTCATTTGGACTACAACATTTATTAAGCACCCCTGTGTACTAGTTGTTGTACTCAGAGCCCTGACATTTCTGAGCACAGAGCATCCTTCCATATGTTTTACTCACTGAAATGTGAAGTGGCCACCAGAGAAACCTGTCTTTGCTATCATAAAACTTACATTCTAGAAGGAAAGACAGCAAAATAACAGAATTCACATATAGAAGGAAACAAAATATGACTTGAAACAGTCACCTTGAAGGAAGCAGAACTTAATAATAATGAGTAGCTATTGGAAAGCCAAGGAAGACATGTAGGGAATAGTTGATATTTTATTTAAGAAATTAGATTACAGTCATATACAAGATGTTCCTTGAAAGAGGGGAAGGCATGGATAAAACAGAGGTGATGGGGTAACTAGAAGACAAGATAGGACAGGAAGGAGGGGGGGAGGAAGCAATTATGAATTCCCCAAATCACAAAAAAGTCTCAATATAATCCAGACACCAAGAGAATGAAGAAAATAAAAACATAATTGCAAAGAGGAAAGAGGTATGTGATAATTTTAATGAAATTAGAGCCAGTGCAGAAGAGATTTTGAACTTTGATCCTGATTAATCAGACTTCTTTGATCTTTTTTTTTTTTTTTTGTTAGAGAAACACATTCATTTATTATATTTTAGGTGAAGTCATTAAAGATTCTAAATTAAATTATAAAGATATAAAAGTATTAAAAATTATAAACACTGAAAAGGAAAACACAGTATTCAATATTTATCCTATTTTTCATGAAGAAGGTTATACACTATAATATATGAATTATTCCATGTTATGTGCCTTATATAGTAACTTGGCTTGAAGAGGAAGCAGTTCAGTATGTTAATGGAAACCGTATAGAACTGCTTGAACTATTAAATGTGTTCATATATCCTGTGTACACTATGAGGCATTCAGTTACACTTCATTTATATCTATCACACTCTTCTACCTGTCACTACTAGATATTTTTTTTTTTGTCTTTTGTCTTATACCTTGGCATTTTTTTTTTAATTTCTTTTTTTTTTTGAACATGAAATGCTTTTTTATAGCATGTTTTACAAGGGGAGGGGGTAAGAGGGTCCAGGTGGTGGAAAAGTACAAAATCTTCTTGGCCTGTGCCTTGAAACATGTCATGGTCTATATGGTACACTGCCTTGAATTATGATCTACCTGCAGTTCTTCAGAAGATATGGTACACTGCTTGAGTTATGGTCTCCCTGCTATTCTTAAGAAGACATGGTACTCTGCTTTGAGTCTATCTGCAGTTGCTAAGCAGGATCTTGCAGCTGCCAAGCTTCAGAGGACATTGTGCAGGTGGGGAAAGGTAGGGGGTAAGGGTAAGGGCGAGGGTCCTGGCTTCTGGCATCTCCCCCTTCTCTGTTTAGTTAGAGAAGGCTTCTTATGTTCAATCCCAACTATGTGAGTTTTGAATTTGGATGTCTAATTATGGGGGGGGTCTTAGACAAGTTCACAACCCCAAAACACTGATGTGAGACAAGTCACATCGATGGTCGAAGGCTTTAGGCTGTCGACGATGGGCAACGTCAAGGGACTCTGATGTGGGTGAAAGGAGGGTGAGAGCCCTGTCTTAGGCCATGTAGGCTGCACCCACTCCCAGCACCACGCACTCCTTTTCGGCTGCATTGGGTGGGCCCCTGGGAAGTGGACCTACAATAATCCCGTCATTGGGCTAACTCACAGCCATCCTAGTCTCTTGTAAATGTTCAAGTTACCAACCATTTGTCAGTTTGGGGTGTAATATTGTCATAAAGGAAGGCTCCCCAATGTTAGCGGCCATATCAAGGGTGGCCTTGGTTTAGGAAAAAGCCAATTTTTGTTGTGGTGATCAAGAGGCCAAGCTCTCTAGCGAGAGAAATGAGGGCA